CTTGACCACAACCTCTTTGTGGTCCTCACCTCCTGCCTCTTGCCCCAGCTGGTCTGTGAGCTGTTCCCTAAATATGTCATGCCACCTCAACATCTCAAGGTCTACGTCATGTCCTCAGTGCCTGGCAGGCCCTGCCCCGCTTCTCTTCCTGGAAGCTTCTGTCCAGGAGTCTCCTGCCAGTGAGCCCCTGTGCTGGCCCAGCGGGCGGCCATGACCACTGCCTCCTTTGAGTTCCCCTAAGACCAAGGGGCTGAATGATGGCGCTTAGCCACCACAGCCTGGAGCTCTGACATGGTGCCCTCTGAGGCCAGTCCTTGATCTAAGGATCCCCCAAAGGGTTTTTTTGGGGGGGTGGGGGGGCTCCGTGTCAGTTCTCAGAACAATGCGAGAGGCCTTGGGCCACTGAACACTGCCTCTCCTGAGGAAGGAGTGAGGGTCAGACCTGCTGGACGTGTTGAACTGCATCTCTGCAGGCATTACATGGAGTGCTGACAGGCTTACAAGAAAAAGGAGTTCTTATGGTTTAAATGGGGACAGAGGACATTGCTAAAGCACTCTAGTTCCTGCAGACTCCAAATTGTTTCCCCTGGATAAGGGCTGTCTTTCTGATGTGCTTGGCACTTGCTATTTAGAGACAGGCTGTACCGACCCAGAGCCCACTCCATACAAAAATGAGTGTTTTTTGGGGGGATGCTTACGGTCCCGGGGAGCCACATAACCCACATAACCCAATCTACCAGGTGATGTAATTTTTTTTTGGGATGTGTTCTAGGGTAATGCTGAAGGTGCTAATGGGATATATGCTAATATTTTGAATAATAATAAGAATTTGCATTCGCCGGGACCGGTTTGGCTCAATGGATAGAGCGTCGGCTTGGGGACTGAAGGGCCTCGGGTTCGATTCCGGTCAAGGGCATGTACCTTGGTTGCGGGCATATCCCCAGTAGGGGATGTGCAAGAGGCAGCTGATCGATGACTCTCTCTCATTGATGTTTCTAACTATCTCTCTCCCTTCCTCTCTGTACAAAAATCAATAAAATATATTAAAAAAAAAAGAATTTGCATTAATATTATATAATGCTCCATATTTTCCAATAATATATTATTGTACTTATGTAATTAAATGATTTAGGTTACACTTAAAATTGTACATTCTAGGTACCAGACACTTCCTTGGCAGTTGATGAATATCAATTACTGTAATACTCCTAAGAACCCCATTAGTTACTCATTTTACAGATGAGGAAAGTGAAAGAGAGAGGTTAACTAGGCCCAGATCATATTGCAGTCATGTGACAAGAGTGGCTTTGAAAAGAGCTGTCAGACTCCTCTTACCCATCAGTGAATCTTCTCACCCATCCGGCCATGCTAGCATGCGGTTTGATGCAGAGCTTCTGATGCCGTGCCAATATTGGCTCTTGTTATAATTCTGAAATTACTCATTAAATCCCCTCTCTGTTGGGAGTATGCTCATGGGAGTGATGCCTGAGACAGTTGGTGAAACAAATGCCTTGCTGACTCAGGGACTGCCTCTTATTTAAGCTGCTCTTAAGATACTAAAGGGCACATCCACCAGGCAGCAAGAAAAATGCCAGTTTGAAAGTTGTTTCATTGCATTTAGCATGACCTTGTCTGATTATCACACATAAGGTCATTTCCCACCAGCCTATTTATGATAATCATATTAAGAAATGATACTTCATATCTAATTTCTACCTTTACCAAAGGAGATTTAGAATCATCACAAGCAGCAGAATTTGACCAGGAAAAGAATGTTGAATATAAGCATCAGAGTACATGATGCATTTTCAATTTTACATTATCTTTGGTAAGAACTATTTTTAAATTGATTTTTAGAGAGGGAGGGAAGGAGGAAGGAAGAGAGAGAGAGAGAGAGAGAGAGAGAGAGAGAGAGAGAGAGAGAGAGAGAGAGAGAAACATCAGTCAATCGCCTCCTGTACTTGCCCCATCTGGTGATTGAACCCACAACCTAGGTATGGGCATTGACCAGGATTTGAACCCATGACCTGCCATGGCTTCAATTCCTGGTCAATGGGATTATGGGATGATGCTCCAACCCACTGAGCCATACCGGCCAGGGCTAGTAAGATCAAATAAATCAGCTAATACTCAGCAGAAAACCTCTTAAGCTTTAGTTCTTGCCATTTATGTACAGAGTAACTATTCCCAAGTACTGAAATTACCAGTACTTATTTTAATCAAAGATTATCTATTTCGTTTTATAATTTTATGTAGGTTAATATTAACATCATTAAGTTAGATTTTATAACTAACTCTATTTTCATCATTCATGTAAATTTGCTAAAAATAATCTTATTGCAGGTTTAGTAACACAATGTCTGATATCTGCAAATATGTATGCTTTTTCCTTAAAAAAAAAAATCCATTTGTTCATTTTATTTTATATGTTTTAGTGAGCTTGAAGTTTGCATTTGAAATATCCTGGGTTGCAGTGGCATATATGAAATAGTGTAAGAAAAATCTCATATTTCTTTTAGCTTAGATAATAGCAATTTTTAAAATTCAAGCAAGAAGTTCTGTTGGATCATACATTTAGAAATGTACCAATTGCTCTGCAGTTTCAAATTTGTTATTACTTCAACCGCGATTGTCTTTTGATATCATAGCGTTGTGGGGTAAATACAATGAAGAGTATCATAAAAGATTGTTTTGAAAATACAATGAAAAATATCATAAAAGATGGTTTTCTAACTCTTGGAAGGGATAAGACAAAAGACATAATTTAGAAGATAGAAAGGCGTGTATCACTTAAGGCCCTGAACAACGGTCACGGAGATGGAGAGGGAAGATGGAAGTCAGGGGGTGCTCTCCGGGGCAGGGTGAGAGGGGAGAAGGAGTGGGTGGCAATTGTTGGACTTGCTCAGGGTAGGGGTGGGGGCAATGCCAACATCTGTAGCTTGACTTGAAGGTGTCATGAGAGAACCTCTAATTCTATGACTCTGGGGTGCAGGCAGTGGAACAAGGATTGTTTGCCTTCCCTGTATAACATTAGCAAAAACAATAGCAGATGCATTACCACCATTTGCCCACCATCCAGAACTGAAATATCATTGCTGACATGTACACATAAGGAACTGTTTGACATTGAAATCGGGTCTCAAAAGAACTGGTGGCCCAGAAAGAAACTCACTACAGACTGATTCATATGCTTTTCAACATAACCATTATTGCTTGTCTCATTTTTTGTTCTTATAAGTAGATTTCCAGTAGGAAATAATCTCACTCATCTAGGGGAAATGGTGAACAACATAGACTGATGAACAAGAACAGACTCAGAGATAAGGAGCCATGGGTCAAACTGTTAGACTTCAAAGAAAGGGTGGGGATAAAAGGGAGAAATCAAGCAAAAGACTTATGTGCACACATATGAGCCTAACCAGTGGTTAAGGACAATAGGGGGGTGCGGGCATGAGGGGGATAGGGGTGGGGGATTGGAATGGGAGGATTTGAGAACAAATATATGATACCTTAATCAATAAAGAAATTAATAAAAAAAGAAAAAGAAAAAAAAGAAATACCTTTTAAACAAACAAACAAAACAAAACAAAACAAAATAACAACAACAAAAAAAACACAAAACAACAGCACAGAAGAGTACTTCTGTTGGCAGACCACCCAAATGCTGTGCAAAGTAGTTTACATGTACTTAAGAAGAAAAATATGCAATAGGTATTTTTCCCCCAAATGGCATACTGGAGTTCATAATAAACAAAAGGGATTGAACGGCTTGCTCATAGACCATAACTCATTCTGAACCATCAGCATCCACAAGCCCTCAGTATTATACAGCCCTGGAAATTCTGCGATAAGCACAACCAGCATCTGTAAACAAGGGGTTCCTAGGAAGCCCCCAGCTCGGATGGGTGAAGGTGGCTCCCCAGACAGAGGAGGCCTCCCATCCATTCGCCTGCAGCTCCTGCTGATGAGGAAGGAGCAGCAGAGCAGGGTCTTGTGCTTTCCTAAAACATCCCAGCTCATGCCTCATATACACCCACTTCCTAGTAACTGTTCCCCAACTTTAACCCCCTCCCCATAACCTGGCCACAAATCACTCTTCTCTTCTTTCAGTTCCTCCCACCAGCGTGTAGCTGCACAGCAGTTTGCCTGTCCAACCTCCCTACCCTCTGATTCTCCTTTGCCTTTTATACTCAAGGACTTTATACAGTTCATCTTCTGTTCCAGAAAGAACCTAAATAGACATTTCGGTTTTCTTCTTTTTCGCTTGCCTGTGCAAATTTCACTCAAAGTCCCCAGGGCAAGCGGTTTTCCTTTTACACCTACTTGGTTAAAAATATAACTCCCTCCTCCCCCCCTCCCTGCTTCCCTGTCTCTCTTCTCCCTTCCTTCCCCTTTCTGCCGCACTCTGCAGGCTCCTGTACTCTACCGCACCCAGAAAATAGGTAACTGTGTCAGTTGACATCTTTTAATCCCAAGGGTCTCTAGAGTTCATCTTAGACACACATAAGTCAAGTTATAGCTGCTTTTGGTTGTTTATTTTTAAACTTTTGGTTGAAATACAAACTCTGGTTTTAGGGGTAGATCTAAGCACGCATTATGGTTATCATCGTAGCTACTAAGGTCCCTTCTGAAAGGGATTAAGAGTGGTTGAAAATCTTCAAAATCCACTTCCAAACTCACAATCCCAATACCAAGCCTAAAGTAGGAGTACAAACGAAGCTGTCTCTCAATTGCCGAATGGAGCAATGCTCAAATTTACCAACTCACCTGCCAGGAATGAGGACACAGCACGGTCAAAACATCAGTCACTGTTTTTCCTCCATTTGTTAAATTCAGGGCTATGTTGTATGGAGCAACTAAGAGATGGATTACAACAAAGCCAGGGCCCATTTGGGGGCCGCGCCGGCCCACAGGGCTGATTTTGCTTTTGGGCAAGTGGTCACCATCCTGGCGAGCCCTGAGCACCTTTGTGCTCTTCCCAGGGCCATGGCCTCTCTCACCTTTGGGTGCGATGTCCAAGAACTGGTCTAGCAGCGTGTCCAGCTGCTCGATGGTCAGGGTGCCATTCTCTTCCTTCTCCACGGGCGGGGGGCGAACCGGAGGAGGGGCGTCGGGGAAGACTTTGATGTCGCCATTAATGAAGAAGCCGTCCTGGTCCAAATAAAGTTCGTTCTGAATTTTCGTAGCCGTTTCAATGTGATAGCGAGCTATCTCAGTGAGCTTCTCCACACTGAATGTGGAAAAGATAAAGAGTTATTGCCAGTGAAGACCCCATGAAGTTAACACTGCTTGCTTATTCCACACACACACACACACACACACACACACAAAGTTATGGCAGTCGATGGCTAAGTCAGACAATTCAATCCACAAGTTTACAAATTCTAACTTCTCCTTAAATCCACTTGTGAGGAGGCAGGGTAGAGATAGATAAATGCAGATTAAAGTGAAAATACATGCTTGTGGTAGAGCTTACAGCCACACATTTTATACAAAGCTAAACACAAAGGGATCATTAAATATGGTTATATTTGTATTAAAAGATATTTTATTACATAAGCGAGATTATGACAAGTGATATATTTCATTCTAAGTATGAAACAGAATATGGTTGTATGCCAGAAAGAAAACAACACCCTAAATATATGACTGTTGAAATACCACACTCATTTGGAATCAGGATAAATTATAAAGTGGATCAAATTTATATAGGCATATGTAAGCTGAAGGATAAGCAGCAACAGTTAGGGACCACTGTGGTCCCTGGGTGGGCTCTCATTGCAGGGCCCTCCCTAGCCATGGGTCCTTGGGTACCTTACCGAGTTCTCTGACTACCCTTACCTTTGCCACCACACACAACTCCATACCTCACAGCTAGAAAAGCAGAATCACCCGGGCCATGGACTTAGCTGCATTGGGGATTACAGTTACAGCTCTATTAAAGGCCAGAAACAGTTTATAGATAAGTACTGTATCACTGTATTACCGGGAGGATTTTGTTCATAGCTTGCAACACAGACTGAACATAATAGAAAACAATGCATGTTCAATCTGTTCTTACAGAAGTTAGGAACCCCAGAATATTCACATACTGAAGTTGTTCCAAAGCAGTATGAAATGCTTCCTTTCCAATGAGACCCTTCAATTTAACTCCAGCATGTTGGTGCGTGTCCCTGGAGCATGCGATCTAATTAGGTTGGCCCTGATGGTGTTAGCATGCTGGGGGGCGGGGGAGGGCATTGGATGGCTGAGCCTACAACTGGTGAGCGGGGAGGGATCCAGATGCAGGCAGAGAGCAAATCATGAGCCGGATATCGCAGTAAGCACGCCATCTGGTAAAAGGTTACCAAGAGCAACCTTAGCAAGAGTGGGAGGGGGAAATGCTAGGAAGATGAAAAATGAGGTTTGAAGTTCCAAGTAGTCTGATAGCTCTATTTTATTTTCAATCTCTGAAGGATTTTTGCAAAAACCAAAATGGAAAGCTCAGCCGAGCAGCCCTAGGTTTCAAATTCTTGTGGCCACATTCAGAAACCAGAGATCTCCAGACACATAACATGCACCTGAGCAATACAAGGACATCTGATAGAAGTAAAGAGCATTGACACGTGTTGGCTCATGGGTGAGAGCTGTGACTCCTCAGAATGAAGATGATAGGTTCTCATGGCTAAGTGACAGGCAGGGCACAGACCTGAGTGCTTGTGCTCCGTAATGCTGATGAGTAACGGACTTGGCTATTCAGGGAAGTCATTGTATGCATTACTACAGTAAGGTTACCGATGGAGTGAGTGCGTGAGCATGTGTGTGTGAGTGTGTTCGGGTATGTTACCACGAAGCAACAGATATAAACAACTGGGATAAATATTTTACAACAGAACTTTCATTACGAGGCAAGGATTGGAGAACACAAGCCATAACAACCACCTCTTTCGCCTCTGAGAGTACTTGCCATCTGTATCCAGAACTTGCCATATGTACGTAGCAACTTCCAAGTGTTTAGTTAATGTTTGCTGCCAACTGTAGTGCATCAGAATCTCTATCCAGAAGGAGGCTGGGAAATACTCCAGATGCAGCTCTTCCATTTATAGATGAAGCAGCCTGCAGCAATTAGGCACGCTGCTAATTTGTGGACAAAGTGGGAGCCCAGGTCTCCTGAGGCCTATTGTCACTCTGCCCAGGTGCCTCTTTACTCCTTTTTAGGAAACAATGAAGAGGATGAGACTGACGGCCCCTCACAAGCAGTGAGAGTCTGGAAAGCCTTTGGAACCCAGCAGGAAAGCAGAACAGGGTGCCACCCCCTTGCCAAGGGGGCCAGCATGCCGAGGAAAACATGTCCTGACTTCTCACCCTTCCACGAACTGGCCCTGACTAGCAATCAGCCTGGCATTAGAAAGATAGGAAATGCTACCTTACTTCTGACAAATATCTAAAGATCGCCTACACTCTTCACTTGTAAAGTGCGGTCCTCATTGAGTGGTGTGAAAGCCAGACTCTTAAATCATGTGCAAGACTCGCTATGTCAATGCCACCCTCTGAAATGTGATTTACTGTTTGAAAAGAGTTAATTCGAAGGTCCATGTGATTGTCTAAAAGCCCAAAATTTCTATTTGTAAATGTAATTTGCATTTGTATACACCATAAAAATCTTTGTCAATTTTGGTCTTCGGAAGTTACCAAAGTGTATTTTCAAAGAGCCCTGCAGTCCTTTACCTGGCCATTTCATGCAAGTACCGCTCACCAAGCCATTTTTCCAGGAGTTTATACACCTCCACCACCTTTGTTACTAGATCTTCAAGGAAAGCCAACGCTTTGATCTTTATCAGCTCAAGTCGGAACTGGGTGGCTATCTCTATTTAAAAAGAGAAGGATTTTTTAATGTACTGTATGTACATGCATTTTCTGATGAACTGAAGTCAAATTTTAAGTCAATCATGCTTTGTCCTGTGAAACTATAGACAAATATTTAATATAAAAATGTGGATCTCATTGAGAAGCAGATGCGATAGAATCACTTGACAGTTTATTTAAACCAAAACTGTAGGAAAGCTCACATTTATTGCACTTCAGAATAATATCCTCCTTGACAAATTGGGATGGAAAAACACAAATAGATAATGTCCTAATTTCAGAAGGGGGAGAGAGTCTCTTGACTTGGGATGGCAATGTCATTATCTTTCTCAGCACTGGGAAAACTGGGGTCAAGTTCACGTGTCCCAGTGCCAACTTCTCCACATTCTACCAGTTCAGCTCAAGCATTAATTCACCCACTGGGAAGTCTTTCTGGACATTTCCCTGCTCCCCCTCCCCACCCTCTCCAATGCTCCCTTTGTCCTGTAAACAAACCTTCAATATCACAACATGTTATCCAGGGTTGTTTGCTTTTTTCTTCCTCCAGATTGGGTTTTACTTTTGTTAATTTTGTGTTTGTGTATATATGAGTGTGTTCCCAGTGGCTCTTACAGGGCTGGCACATAGTGGAAACCCGATAGATATTTACTGTGTGAACGAGGGAATTAACCACAGCAGGGGTCAGGTATGAATGAACTAGAAGATGAAACAGGCTTAACTACTGAAAGCAGAGGTGGGGATGGGCAGTGGGAGAAAAGATGTGTCTTGTCTTTCCTGACCCCACAGATATTTGTGTTCAACTTACTTCCTGCGTTCAATTCACCTGCTGGGAAGTCTTGGGATTATGGAAGCAGATGGTAGTGGGATGGGGGAAAGGGAGAAGAGAGAAGCAAAGGATGGAAAACATCAGTAATAGTTAATGGTCATTGAGTAGTTAATGTGTCCCAGCTGACCTAATAATGTAATGTTATGATTTTGTCATCTACTATATTGATCATGGTTCCTTTCCAATTAGGACACTTTTGCTCATTGTCCTGATCTTTTCAAGTCCCACTTTACAATGTATTGTAAGACAACTCGAGGAGCCTGGAGGAGACTGTCTTGCGGAGTCATTGCTATCCAGAGACAAGGAGGTCCTTGGACATTATTGATCCATGACTGGCTCTCCTATGGGCTTTGCTCCCAAGAATTCACTTTCAGAGCCTGTTCAACTTCAGGTAGGGTTCATTTTTCAAATAAGCTGCCTAAGTAAATCTTATTAGAATACAAAGCCACCTACCCAACCCTCTTTCATCTGTAAAATCACACCAACATTCTGTGTTTCTGTTCTTTGAGATTATACATTACTGCTACTCTCCTAACCCCTTCCCAAAGTCTCTTTGTTGTTGCTGTTCTGTGAGGTCCTAGCAGACAATGATACAACAGTCAGATCTGATCTTCCTGTGGTCACATGAAAACAACCAACTGAATGCTGTACTCTCCCGTTTGCCTTGTGTCTCCAAAGACACGGTTTGGGCTGGCTGTGGCCTACTTGCTTACTGGCCTATTTTCTACTGAAAAGGACCATCTTAGTTCCTTCTACAATAATTGTTACCTTCAAATTGCAGGGCAGCAATATGTTCCTCCTTTATTTTTTGCCTCAGTTCATTCTTCTTTTCCATTTCCAGCATATCTTCTGGGGTTAGTGCTACAGGAGTGGCCTCTGCTATAGGTGGTGATTTACCTGAGAGGCCAACGAAACCCACCAAGTAAGCTTACGGTAGACAAGTGTACACACATGGTACTTGGGCAGAATGAGTATAAAGTAGAATGTGTAGAGCCATAACCCTCTAGTGACTTAGAAAGGAGGAAACCTTGGTCCTGCTGGTGTGAGTGTGAAATACTGATAGTAGCTCCCTGAGAACTCTCCACGTGGCATCTGGGCAGGACACAGATAAAAACGCCCCATTTGTGTGGCATCTTGGGAAAATGAGGTTGTGCAGACATGGTTACGGACCAACTCCAAAGAGGCTGCGATTCAGAGTCTGGGGACAGAAATGGGCGAACACCGGGGATGCCATTGGCCATCTGCAGGAGAACAACTCTGAAAGGGTTACTTACATCAGCCAAGTATTGCCAAGGTCTTCATCAAGAAAAGACCAGAGGATCATATGACTGAAATGTAACTGATGGTCACGAATCTGTAGTCTACTTACTTACCTTGCACCTAGCACATAACTATACGTATGTCCGTGATTACAGAAGAACATTGGAACCTAAGAGCTTGTCAGTATTTGAGAATTTGAAAGTGTGATTCTTGGTTGTGGGCCCAGTTTACATAACTCTGCTAAGTTCAGTAAATAGTTCTTGAAGAGCCTTCCTCAAGGGGTTTAAGTCTTTTAAAGAAGACGTAAGTGTAAACAAAGAAATTGTAATAGGTGTGTCGATAACAATAGCGGATCTATGTACAAGTTACAGATGGGAGAGAGCTCTATCTCCTGCATTTCTGTCTTATCACCTGTGAAATGAAGAGACTGAACGCAACTAGTGAATCCCTGAAAGTAAATGGAAGCATCCCCTTCAATTGTTGCGTGTATCTTTCCTTTTCATCATCTGAGATGCCCTGAACTGGCCTCTCCTTTATCGTGCTGCTACTCTTCCATTTGAGTCAAGGGCCACCACCCACACCCCTCCCTCCTTTCCTCCCTCCCTCTCACGGCTGCTTCAATGGGCTCCATTGGGAAATGCTTCCCTGCCCCTCAGATGGAGTGGGGTGACCTTGTACCTCCTTCCCAAAGAGCAGTGAGATGCCAAAGGCCCATCTCTGCTGCTAGACTCCAGTCCCATGGGGCGAGGGGCCCTGCTCTGGTTTCTCTAAAATTCACATGTGTCCTCAGCACCCATCGCAGTGCGGGCGCCCAACACTCATGGTGAGCAACTGATGAGAAGAGTGACTGGTGTTCATGTGCTTCCTCCATCTCTTCCTCTCCTGCCCCACCTCCCTGAAGAAATGCCCGTGAGGAAGCATTCAGAGTGGTGGGGTGGGGGAGGGAGGCAGGGCTCATCTCCAAGGGTAAGGGGAGGTCTCTCCCAACCTGTGATTTCTTTCCTCTTGGCTCTCCAGGAGGCCTCCAGGAGAGAAGGCCTTGACTAAAACCTGAAATCTGATTGAAACCTTAAACGTACCCACATATAATCAGCTTTTAACTTCCTCTTGGTTATGGCAGCGAGTGTCAGCCCCTCGGCACACACTTTTCAGATCACACAGTGTCATGCTGGAGTTCCTTTAACATGCTTAAAACTGCCTTGGAGGTTAATTTTCCCCGGCCATGCTTGGCTGTTTGGTTAAACAAGTCAGGTGGGACTGGCCCTCAGTATGACTTACAAACCGAAACCTCAGTGCACAGGGGCCCGGATCTCTCAGTGAAGCCTAACGGACCTCGTTCAGCGGCTGAGAGGCTGGTGGGCGAGCCTAAATGCTGCTTTTCCACCAAGGAGAGGCCCAGACCATGAATACCTTTCTCTTTTTTGTCTGCGACTTTTTTCTTGGGTGGCTCCTTTTTGGCTTTTTTGTTAACGTTGGTCTGAGGAGACTTTTCTTTGGTTTCTGCTGGCTGGGCTTCTTTTTCTTCTTCCAGGAGCCTCTGATGGATTTCCGCGGCCACCTGGTTGCAGAAGAGCAGTATTTCAGCGAGGGCAACATTGTGAAATACGATAACCTTTTAGTTCCGTCCTCATGCGATTCCCCTGAAACTACCACACACAGCGTGCCCTGTACTTGGTCTCTCCAGCCCACACATCTCAGCATCCTGCTTGGATGGAGACCTGGCCCTGGCCCAGGATGCAGCTCCCCGGGGCCATCTGCAGGGCCGCTCACCTTCCCATCCCTGCTTGCGGGGGTGCATCCTACCTCTCCTCCTGCCACCTCCACACTGTGACAGCTCCCTGGTTATGCTTGAGCCCCTTTTTAAAAATCTCAAACTCTATGGACTTACCTCCTATATCCTCCCAAGATCCTATTACTTCTGGGCCTTCAATTAGGGGCATTCCCCTAGTGTTTCTCAATAGATATTTTATATTATTATTGACCCCTTTTGGATTTTTTTAAAAAAGATTTTTAAATTGACTTTTACAGAAAGAGGGAGGAGAGAGGGAAGAAGAAGAAGAAGAAGAAGAGAGAGAGAGAGAGAGAGAGAGAGAGAGAGAGAGAGAGAGCTATGAAATCATAACATCATTTGGCTGCCTCCTGCACACCTCCTACTGTCGATTGAGCCTGCAACCCTGGGCATGTGTCCTGACTGGGTATTGGACCAGCAACTTTTCTGTGCGTGAGATGGCACCCAACCAGCTGAGCCACACTGGCCAGGTCTATCCCCTTTGGATTTTTAAAAATAGTTTTCCCATCACATTCCCCTCCAGGAAGTTTTCAGACTGCAGAAGAGCTTCCATCTGCCTAAGTGCTTTATGCTTGTCTTTGTTTTATGCATAAATTGGGTGAGAACTTTTCATGACCCCCAAGCAGTTTGGGAAGCGCATGCCCTGTAGGATTGGGCTCCTGGACACTTGAATCCTGGGCTTCATTCTGCTCTCAGATTAGATGTCGCCAGGAAGACGCAGTGTTTGTGAGGAGGACCTGCCTGCAGGCTCACCTCATTGTCACTCCTTAGCTTCCTCTGCTCAGGAAGCTCTTGGTCTCTCTTCATCTCAGCACCCCCCTCCTTTCATTCTCACATGTGTCTGGGTTTGAGAGATTAGTTGTGTGGTCACTCCACACTAGCTGATGAATGGGGAGGGCAGGGTGCTGCCAGGACCACCTCCCCCCTCAGCTCTCCTCTCAGGCTGGCCCTGGGCTTCAGGCAGGAAAACCTTGTCTCAAGGCTTGGACAGCTGAGGCTGTGCCTACGTAAAAGATTGGACTTTAAAAAAAAAAATATTTTAAAATATATTTTATTGATTTTTTACAGAGAGGAAGGGAGAGGGATAGAGAGTTAGAAACATCGATGAGAGAGAAACATCGATCAGCTGCCTCCTGCACACCCCCTACTGGGGATGTTCCCACAACCAAGGTGCATGTCCTTGACCTGAATTGAACCTGGGACCTTTCAGTCCACATGCTGACACTCTATCCACTGAGCCAAATTGGTTAGGGTAGATTGGACCTTTCTAAAGGAGTCCAAGTGGCTCTGGAGAGGTGCAGGGCATTTCTGGGTGAAACCCTGAGAAATAAGTGCTGAGGAAAGACTCCCAAAGGGGAGAAAGAAAACCTGCACCCAGCCTGGAGGCAGCAGTCACGTGTAGTTCAACTTTAACATCTTCAGAAGGCAACTGGTGAGGAAATGGCGGTCCAAGGGAATTCATTTGTTTACTAAAGTACTTAGAGTGTCCAAGCTTGACATTGCTGCTGGGGGGTGAGGAAGGGGGGTGAATTGGGGGAGGAGTCAGAAGGAGAAAGAAGTTGGGTGGAGGTGAATAGAGAGATAAGGCACAATCTCTATCCTCAAAGAAGCTTAGTCATGGGGGCCAGATAGACCCATCTATCCCTGTCTTCTCCCAATCCCTGCTGTACTCCATACCCCATGGCTTGGCATATAAGTGTCCCCAGCTGTCCCATGATGCTAAGTGCCAACCCACCCTCCACATAGGCTGGGCAGCTCCTGAGAGCCGGGCCAGTGGGGCCAGTCCTACTTCTTGGCATTCTCCCTCTGGTTCTGTGCTATGTTCAGAAGGGGTGGCCAGGAAATGCTTGTTAGATGATGGAATTTCTTTTTTAAAAATATTTTTATTGAATTTTTACAGAGGGATAGAGATTTAGAAACATTGATGAGAGAGAAACATCAATCAGCTGCCTCCTGCACACCCCCAACCAAGGTACATGCCCTTGACCAGAATGGAACCTGGGACCCTTCAGTTCGCAAGTTGATGCTCTATCCACTGAAACAAACTGGTTTTGGCTTGATGGAATTTCTTTTAAGATAATCATATTCCACAGCTTCTTCAGTATCAGCAGAACCTTGGAGGGATACGACGGAAAGGTCTCAAAGAGCAAGCTGGTGTGTTTTTTAATCAGATGTTCTTTTGATAAAAATGGACTTCATGATATATACTGTACTTTCAAATTCCTGGTAAAGGCTGAAAGCTGGCTTGTTAACATTCCACCCTAAATTGCAAGCAATTCATTTTTGAATCTGTTCTTGCAAAGCACCAAGTTAGCAATTTCCTTTAAAATTGGATTTTTCTCCCTTGTAAACAACCTTGTGTTGGTGGTGATGATGATGATGTTGGTAATTATCATCATCTTAATTTTGTATTCACGTCTTTCTCAAAAAAACAAACCACATAATTCACAATATATTTAGCAGTCTAGCTTGTAAGACTGAAGAAACACTGGAAATAATGCCTTGGCATGGTGGGCATTAAATAGGACTTGTTTCTTTGAAACCATTGCATACCTGCTAATTTGAAGGAAGTTTTCCTAAAAATTAGCATAGCATACTAAATGAGTAACTCCTGGTCAGACCACTGCAGAGAAGAAAGCCTATGTGAAAGAGTTCTCGTTCAGGGCACTAATCTCAGCTGACACTGTTTCCCTGCAATAGTTAACTGCATCACCTGGAGCTCTCTCATTTGGAACTCAAAAGCTCCTCAAGGTCATGTGACATCAAAGTCATAAATGCTTATTAGAAACATGAAAGCAGGATTTCAAATAATTATGAATAATATTAATTTGCAAACAATCCTTTCTCGTATGCTTTCTATGTGTTTTTTTAAAGTCCCACAAGGAAAGAAGTCCAATTTTGAATATCTCAACAAAATGATCTGTTATACTTGAAATTTCCAAAACACTTTTATATACATTATTTCATGAAATCTTTTCAACCATCCAAAAAAGAGAAGGTAAGTAGAATGTCTTCCACATGATACACTGAAGGAACAGAAGATTCAGACTTTCACATAGCTTCAACAAGAGGGCTTGCCAGTGCTCTTTGTGCTGTAGCATATTCTCTTTCTAACAGTGTTTTATAAATTTAAAATGTCTACGTGTCATATTTTAAAATGTTATTTCCCCCCAGGTAACTTGAATGGGACTCACAAGACTTGCAAATTATGTTTATGTAGCTCCATTGGCAATACAAATAATTATTCACACTTTTTTTTCTTAGAAGTCCTAGCTCTGCTTTCCTATTCTCTAGTGCTTGGTAGCTGTTGTGGCCTTTGTGGTGATCACTACTATTATTGCTACAATCGCTAATATTAACATCAACATTATCAGTATGGAAGCAGCAGCATCTGAGACTGTATTTAGGGCTTGGTGTCATGTTAGATGTGGACATTACCTATGTATAGGGTATATAAATGTTTTAGAATCTAGTTGGTATTTAAGAAAACAACAAAATAAAAATTAAAACAATGCTCTAGATAACAAGAGCCAAATGAATGGGAGAGATAATAACTGCGAAAAGAATTGAAAGAGCATAGGTCGTAGAAGGCAAGGACTTATGAAAACAAGCTACCAACTGGTCAGGAATCAGGATGTAAACTAGTTCTGAAGATGTAAAGAAAGTGTAGAATTTATATGAAAAAAAGGAACAAGAAACTCAATTTAGGAAAGAGAAATAGCATTAGCCAACGCATTGAAATGTTTAGTGTTCATTGAAAACATAGGATGCAATATCTCATCAGTTTTCTAGAGGGTTTGAATGGAAAAATAGTTCCCCAAAAAATAATGAGGGGAAAAAAGTAAATTTAAGGGGCCAAGGGAAAAACACCACAAAGTAAAATGAATCAATGAAGTTGGAAGTTAGTTCTTTGAAAAGACTGATATAATTGATAAAGTTCTGGGTAAGAAGATCAGGAAGGGGGAAAGCACAAAGATAAATATCAAGCAGATAATATACTGTGTTATAGTAACACAAACATAAAGAATATTTTAAAGAACTTCATGCTAATACAGTTGAAAATGTAGAAATGGAAACATTTTTAGCAACACAAAACTTACCAAAACCAACCAGGTTTTTTCCTAAGATACAAAAATAAAAATCACCCAATATCTATTTAAAAAAACGAATCCCTGAGAGGAGGGAGCAACAGAAACTCTTCATACAAACTTTCTATAGGCCTATGTGTCTTCTTTGGCGAATGCTACCAAACATTTCAAGAAGAAATAATTCTAACTTCCACAAAATCTTCCAAAGCCATATCCCAACTCAACCCATGAGACTAGTATTACCTGAATGCTGAAATTACTTGTTCAAAAATTTAAAAACCCTAAACAGGTTATTAAAAGAATAATTCAGCAATGTGTAAGAAGGATGAGGATCCATTACAATGTTGGACTTAGTCCAGGGGTGTGATGTCAGTTTAACATTATACAATTGATTAACATATGTCACATTAGCATGAAATGGGGGGGAAAAAATCACATGATAATCTCAATAGATTAAAAAAAAAAAGCATTTACTAGTACAATTAATTTAAAAACCTTCATAGTAAGCTAGAAATGAAAAGAAGGTTTCATAGTCTGATAAATTCTATGGAAAAAATATCTATAGCCAACATTTTCCTAACTCTTGACAAGCTGATGTGAAAATGTGTATGGAAAGGCAGAAAGCCTAGAGAAGCCAACATGCTCTTGATATATGATGGCCAGGTGGGAAGATCTGGTCATCCAGATAACAAGTCAATGTATAATATATAACGATCAAAAAAGTGGAGATGTTGTATACAATGCTTGCAAACATTGTGTTCATTTTTATTCATAACGACCAACACTGGCCTTTAGCGGGTACATGGATAGGCAGAGAGAGCAATGCAGTAGACAGAATTTGTGATGTGTGGTGGCAAGGATGATACTGCAGTGAAGTGGGAAAAGATGCCGGCGTTGCCTCTGAAAGCTGAAGCACTTTGTATAGTGTTGTCCACCCCACATGGAAGATAGCACGTATGTATGCCCCACAGTGATGCGTGCATGGGCACATCGGGGGACAAGTTCAAGAATGTTCACAGCAGCAGTGGCCACAATGACACCAAAAAGGGAGCCCACATGTGTATCTGCTTAAACTGTGATCTATTTATATAAGGCAACGCTGTACAGGGACAACAGAACACAGCTGTGCTCAGCAGGATGGGAAGAATATCACAAACACTATCGAGCAGAAGAAGACACAAAGAGGCAGGAGGTAGGAGTCCACTTATTTAAAGCTCGAAGGCAAGCAACGCTAAACTATGCTGCTTAGAAGTATAGACTTGGGGAATAAAAGAAAATCAAGGCAATGATTGCGAAGCAGGCAGGATGGGGGCTCCTGTTTGCAGGGAGGAAGGGTTCGGGCTGGGAAGGGGCACATGAAGGACTTGGCAGGTGTAGACCTCCTCTCTCCCCACTGGGATTCCAGGAGTATGCAATCTGGGCATGCAGTTCTATTTCATGCACCTCTCACATGTGTGCCAAAATGCACATGCGTGGTTTTAAAAAGAAGCAAGACAATGGCACGAGTACAATCCCTTATGAGAGGCAGGAAGCAAAAGGAGCACAAAGGGGCAGGGGACAGAAGGGAGGCACTGAGGCTGCTGTGGGACAAAGGCTAGAGGAAAGAACCCTGGAGGCGGAGTAGCCAGGAAGGGACTGGGAAAATGCCCAACCACAGTGCTGATTGCTCGCCAAGAGAGACTATCATGCAAGATCCTCTTCTGCCTCTCCCACAAAATCTTTGGGAAGGTTGGCTCTGCTTTCTGTTGGAATGGGGCAGGTCAGGGAGAATCAGAGAAGGCTTGGCACAGAATGAAGACGGAAGCTGCATCGGTGGGCCCAGGGCTGGGGGCGAGGGACCAATGTCGACCGAGCTCAACTCCGTGTGTGCCTTCTGAGGGGACGCAGCGCAGCCTCGTACTAGATTAGAGTGACCGATGCCCTTCCTTTCTCCTTGGATCCGGTGCAGGCTCAGCGCAGGAGGGGAAGGAGGAGAGGACGTGAACTCTGAAGTCACACAGACCCAGATCAAACCTCCTTTTGACACTTACCTGAGGAGTGACCTTGAGCAAGTTTCTTAATCTCTCTAGGCCTTGGTTTTTCAATGTAAAGAGGATAATACCCTGTTTCCCCGAAAATAAGACAGTGTCTTATATTAATTTTTGCTCCCAAAGATGCGCTAGGTCTTATTTTCAGGGGATGTCTTATTCTTCCATGAAGAAGAATACGGTACACATTTATTGTTAAATGAAAATAAAGGAAATTTATTACCTGTATACGGTACGGTAGTACGGTAGATGTCAACACAAACCAGACAAACTGTGAATCCTACAGTATCAAGAATTTACTCATTTATTCAATGACAATCATGTCATCATCTTCTGGAACATCATCATAACAATCCAATTCCTGAATTTCCTGGTGAATTTCTTGTGACTCCATTTCTTTCAGAATCAGTGGACCAAATCTTTCATGTTTATCCTAGGGGGGGGGGGCTTATTTTTTTGGGGGGATGCCTTATATTTCACTCAGAAGGAAACCTGTAAGTAGGTCTTATTTTTGGAGGATGTCTTATTTTCAGGAAGACATGGTAATACTAACCCCATAGGTTACTTACGTATAATGCCTAGCAAAGCTTATAAACTAGGGGCCTAAAGGACAGATGTGTATTTCGCTGGGCTCTGTAAATCTTTAAAAATTTGACTTAATTTCTAACATGTGACCATCAGTAGGTGTCACATAAAAATACGAATTTCTGGTTTTTCTTGTAAAAGTGAAAATCTGGTCATACTGGGCTTCGTCCTTCAATGGCCAAGTTGGTCAGGACAGAGTAGCCCATGCCTCTTGAGACAAAGGTGTGATTTGCACTTGGCCATAGTCCCCCCCTTCCCTATTGCTTCACACTTGACCCACTTCATTGACACTTCTGATTGGCCCTGTACTTGGAACCCTGCCTGGCCCGGCATAAAAAATATCCTAAATATTGGTTCATTCCTTTCTTGAGCTCATATATTTGCCATTTTGTTTCACTTTATATTTCTTTCAGAAAAAAGTGGAGATGTTGTATACAATGCTTGCAAACATGGTGAACATTTTTTATTCATAACCACCAACATTGGCATTTAATGAGTGGATATCACTGAAATCCATAAACAAGCGCAGCTTACCATGTGAGAGATGGCAGAGGAAGCCTGCTGCCAGGTGTCCATGATCAGCTTCTCATCAGTCTCAAAGTTTAGCTCCACTTTCTCCAGCGAGTAGTCAGTCTTGCCCTTCAGGATGACTTTTGATTTGGGCTTGGAGACAGCTAAGTCCGTAGAAATGGATGTTCGAGAAACTAGAGGGATTCTTTGGAAAACAAACAAAAATATACTTTAACATAATTTTACTTTTCATGCCTATGTTACTCAGTGAATTTTGTTGTCTTGCTTTAAATCTCCACTTTCAAGGTTTTCCTGTTAGAAACCTGCATTCACATCTTTGTGGTCTAGAACATCTTATACACACACACACACACACACACACACACACACACACACACACGAGGAAACTGGAAGCAAAGATCAGACATGATTTTCAGGGTTAGTTCTCAGTAATTGTGAGGAGGGGGATTAAACGTTGTCTATTGTGAAGAAATGCAATTTTGAAATGTCCCTAGGGCATACACTTCCGACACAGAGCAAATCCTCCCTTGGAGAAAGCCAGCCATGTGGAACGGGGCCTCGCTTCTTCCAGCTGACCAGCATCTGGCTTTCTGAAGCCGAGGGTGAGGAAGCTGGTGTGGCCGGGGTGAGCTCTGCAAGGAGATCCAGCAGCCTGCCCTCTCTTGCACTAGGCTGGCCTCGGCTGTCTCTCTGTCCTGTAAAGCAGTGTTTTTCAACCTTTTTTGGGCAAAGGCACACTTGTTTCATGAAAAAAATCACGAGGCACACCACCATTAGAAAATGTTAAAAAATTTAACTCTGTGCCTATATTGACTATATATAAAGTAATTCTCTTGAATAGGAATCAAATAAACACAAAGAAAGTATTTTATAATTACTTTATTATGAAATATTAAGTAAACAAAATAGTGAAAAATTATAAAATTCTTGTCTTGTCTGCACCTACGGCACACCAGGCAACATCTCGCGGCACACTAGTGTGCCGCGGAACAGCGGTTGAAAAACGCTGCTGTAAAGTGATGTGGGCACACAGAGTTACATCTCCATCTCCCTCTCCCTCCCGTCAATCATATTGCTGCTCCACCTAGGGTGTTCAGAGCCTCGGAGGGACAGTCCATCACCTAAGGATCCTAGGATCTCAAAGACCAACAGGGGCAGGAGAGAGCCTGGGGCAGGATGCTCCCTGGGACTGGGATCCACTGGGTGACAGAGTGAGCAGAGCTTTCGGCTTGGGCAAGGGATGGGGAGAGGAGCCCCAAGGATGTCTTGGCTGAGGCCTGTGGAGGAGCAAAAGGGGAGCACGCACTAGAGTTGGCAGTCCAGCTGCGGGGGAATAGAGCAGTGGCTCCGACAGTGGATTGGGATTGTGAGTCCCAACAAACAATTAGCTGGCCTGGGTGTTGCTGTTTTTTTTTTAATCCCCACCTGAGGACATTTTCCCATTGATTTTTAGAGAGAGTGGAAGAGAGGGAAAGACAGAGAAAGAAATCGATGTGAGAGAAATACATCGATTTAGTTGCCTCATGCACACACCCTGACCAGGGCCCTGGCTGGGGAGAAGCCTGCAATGAAGGTACGTGCCCTTGACTGGAATTGAACCCGAAACCTTTAGGTTCACAGGCCGTTGCCCTATCCACTGAGCCAGACCGGCTAGGGCTTAAAGACTTTTTGCTATCTATTCGTAGCTTCTCAGGGTTTGGGATCTTGTCCCTCCCAGTAACCACCTATTGAATCTATAAAATATTTTTTAATGAAACTTTCATATTTCACAGGAATGTTTGGCTGATAATATAATTTTTGTTCCACCCTAACCACTGAGTTAGTTTTCTTACTGGCAGGAATCCGATGTTAGACCACTAATGTCTTTTAGTTTCACAACATCATAATCACATAAGATTGAGTCTTTACTATTTCACAAATTTCTTATCTGTAACAGAAGACTCATAACCCCTTCCATTTTCATGTTCATAGTATGATACATACACACGTACACACAGAGAAGCCTGAGATTTCCATGAAGTGGTAGAGGCTCACACTCCCTTACTGGAAACCCTTTGGTTTCAGAATTCAGAGTGCATACACTCTACATCATTTCTATTATTTATAGCAGAGGCTGTGGCAACATTCCATAACAAAACACACTATCCCTCTGCAGCAAAAATATTCATCATCAGTGGGATACATACTGCATATCAATAGTCCTAAGTTGAAGTTCGAAAAAAAATATTCAGTTTTTAGAGCTTTTTGGATTTGGGATTTGCAGATATAGGAGTGTCGTTTTTATAAGTGGTATTCAATTTAAAGTCTTAAAGCTTAAAGTTCAGACAAATTACAGCATGACATCATAATGTGTCTTACCTAAACTGGCTTTCCAAAATCTCTTTAGTATCCAGTTGGACCAATGGGAGGCGAGTAAATTTCTTATTGTCTTCTATTGGGATTTTGCCTTCCATTCCCTTGTAATAATCTTGAAGGAGTCTCCTTGTATCTTGAAAACGGTTCAGTTCTGCCTTTAATAGCAATTATAATATCAATACCCCACTATATACACACATAAAAAAAGCCCCACCAATCTGATCTGCATATATTTTCTATATAAGTTCTGGGAACACTATTTCAAAACATTTAGGTTGAAATCAATTTTCTGGAAATTGAGAAAGAAAATTGGCTACACGAGTATGTGTAAAATTTCATACAAGTTGAAGAAAACTGGTGACTTTGCATTTTCTGTACTTACTGAGTACAGGAGGCCCAATGCACGAAATTCATGCAAAAGTAGGCCTTCCTTCCCCCAGTTGCCGGCACCGGCTTCCCTCTAGCACCCGGACCCAGGCTTCCCTCACAGCCAGGGCCTCTTAATATTGTGACAAAAGATTGGATGATGTCTGATGTGGTGTAGAGCATATTATTCATTATTTTGATATTAAGAATTCTTTCTGTGTCCTGTATCAAGTAATCACTATATTAATAAACATTTGAGTGTCTTCTGACATAGATCACATGTTAGTTGATTTGAGAGGTACAAAAACTATTATAAATGTAAATATAAAATACACATACAAAAAAACTGAAATACAATATAAGACTAGGCTTGGTCTTCCAGTTGTGGAAAAAGGAAAGTGATGATGAGCAGTTCTCTTGTTCAATATGTAGGGTATGGTAAGATCATACCTCCCAGTCAGACCCTCTGCTGGCTTTGCCAGTAGGTGCCTTGAGGGGAGTGGAGAAGCACAGAAGAGCTGGTGACGAGGTGAGCATCAGTTATTCACCAGTGACTCCCTGCCAGCCAGGTCACTTCCCTTTGCAGCAAGACACACAGGAGTTTTCCCACCTTTGCTGCCATTAGGTGTTAGTCTTGTCGGCACATCTGTGCTTCTCTTTGGTTGTATAAACTTGGCCTCGGACTTTGCTTTAGTCAGTGGGGCTACTTAAACAGGTATCTTAGGGTCAGATGTACTCCCCTTATCCAGTCATTACAGAAAGCCTCTCTCCTAAAAGGAACGAAGCTGGCCTAGTGTCCAAAACCCTTAGCTGCGCCTGACCCGAGGGTGTTTCTGAAGGGAATCCCATATTTATCAAGCAATTAATGTCAGTTATTTCATAAGACAATAACTTGCAAGAGACTGTCTTGTACAATTCATATTCAGTTTGGAACGAATAAGTGTCTGCTCTGCATTGTCGTCCACAACAAAAGACAAGAACAATTTCAATAAGTTTGTTTTGATTCCCCCAAAACTAAGCCAAATTGCTTCTGAGAAGCTGTTCTCAGCAGTATCAAACTTTTCCAGCTAAAACAATGGAACGGGAAGAAATTCATTTGGTTCGTTAGAATCTATGTTAAACAATAGAATTACCATTCATATATTGTTTTAAATTATGGGACATATTTGAATTGCTTGCGGATTGTCAACATAAATATATGTTTAAGTAACTTCACACTAGCATTTGGAAATGATTAGGGAAACAAAACATTTTCCTTGCCAAGAAACCCAAATGAGTTTTAAAATATCCACATCTGGCCGAATTTCACAGTTTGGCAGTAAATGTTTGTACCTGTCATGCTTAGATTTGCTAAAACAGTGGTGAGAAAATGAGTCTTGTAAACTATACTCATGAAAACCTGCACAAAACCCCTGGCAGTGAGCAGCATGCAATGACCAACCCATGTACAAAGTGGCTATTGGCAAATAACGTTGGGGAAATGAAGAAATGCGTTGTGAGGTTATAAAAATCATTAATAATTAATCTATAGCATTACATTTTTGGTAAATAAAGTGAGAGACCAGGAAATTATTTCCTCTTTAGCTTAGAGAATTGAACTCTTTAATTATGACTAAGTTTAGTAGATCCTATTTTACACCATTGATAATTGGCACAGTGCTGATATCAAGGTTCTAGGCCAGTGGTCGGCAAACTCATTACTAGTCAACAAAGCCAAATATCCACAGTACAATGATTGAAATTTCTTTTTTTTAAACTTAAATTTCTTCTAATGCCACTCCTTCAAAATAGACTCGCCTAGGCTGCGGTATTTTGTGGAAGAGCCACACTCAAGGGGCCAAAGAGCAGCATGTGGCTCTCGAGCCACAGTTTGGGGACCATGGCTCTAGGCTAACATTGTTTTGTTATTTTATATAAGAGGGCAGAATTTGATACATCTCTAGCTAAGCATAAGTAAGATGCCATTCTATATCCAGGATTCTCATATAAGCAGAATTAAACAAGACTTCCCTCACCTTTAAAACTAGTAAGTAATGCTTTCTTATTATTTTTCTTGTCCTAAAATCTTAGTGGCAGGAATCTTAGAAATGATCTAGGGTAGCATTCTCTGAAATTTATTTGGTAGAAAATGTATCCTATAGACTGTCCTCTTTTCCCCATAGTTGCTTTTTAGCTGTGGGCTCTGTTTCTCAGAAAGAGAGAGAGAGAGAGAGAGAGAGAGAGAGAGAGAGAGAGAGAGAGAGAGAGAGAGAGCCTTAAACCTAGGTATTGCTGAGATGTGAGAGTTATACCTTTTCCAAGTATTGCCAGGACTATTGAGAATGATTCACAAAAATTCTCTATTCCTTTTACCTGCACTAGTGGATTTCAGTTATTTCTGCTATAAGCATTTGACACACCTGTTTCAACATCCGGTCTCTGCTTGCCCAAACGCATGTCCTTGGATGCTACCCAAATGAGCTTCAGCTGCTTGGTTGTATCACTTTAATCTTTTGCACAATCTATGCCTTGTATGTCCCATCAGGATCCCAGAGTTAGTCATTGGCGAGGCTGTTCCAGGTCAACCATGGTCAACCTCACAGGTTTCTTTTGACTTTTCAGGCCAATGGTGGTCCAATCTGCCATGCACCAGGGGCTTGTTCTGGCATTCACAGCCATTTGTTAAAAAAGCATTCCTTGAGCCCCTACCTATTGTATCTTAGCTCTGGCAATTACCAGCTAAATATTCTCATTTTTGCAGTAGGTCCTCAAGTAAGTGATTCAGCAGATTAGAAATGCCCCCTTTCCATTCTCTGCCCGGAATGCTATTCGCTTAGGTAAAAACACTCATGTAGACATAGCTTGACAACAGCCTTCTTATTCCCCTTAGAGAGATTAAATTTCAGACAGGCTTCTTACTAACCCTAGGCTCATGACCTCCTTTGTTCTTAGTGTATTTACTTTATTTATTTATTTAATATATTTTTATTGATTTCTGAAAGGAAGGGAGAGGGAGAGAGAGACAGAAACATCAATGATGAGAGAATCATCAATGGGCTGCCTCCTGCATGGCCCCCCACCAGGGAACGAGTCCACCCCCTGGCATGTGCCCTGACCAGGAACTGAACTGTGAACTGTGGGTTCATAGGTTGACACTCAACCACTGAGCCATGCTGGCCAGGCGGTATACTGACTTTAGAAAACTTGTCATTGTAAATCTTTTCTCTGTCCCTTTGAGATATCTTTTGATTACCTTGTCGGTTTTAGAACCCAGACTGTCTTTTTCTAGGAGCTGGGAACCATCTCTTTGAAATGTAAGCATCCAGGAAGAGAGCTGTCTAGGTCTCGGTTCCTTTGGGAGGATGAGTTGGTCCAAGTGGTCCAGCTTCCTCCTGTCTTGAGCATAAGACATAGTGTACTCCCGCTTTAGGCAAGGCTGGTTAGAAAACACAGGTGGCCACTAACTGTTCCCCTCAGCCACCCCAGGTCTTAGGAACGGTATGCCCTTATCCCTGGCAGAGCTTGGGCTGTGCTCTCGCCCCTACTGTTGATAGCAGTCTGGTGGGACTTGCTATTTAAATATGTTAATCAGGTTGTTTTCACGAATGGTCTGCTTTTCCAATCCAGGCATAACCTTTTTATCTGGCATCAAATGCTCGCAGAGCCTGATCTGGCGCACACTTCAGATCTCTCTCCTGGGCTTCGGCTGACCACTTCGGGTGTGCGATGTGAGAAGCTAACATCGAGGGAGCCACCATCAGAGACACGTCTCCGCTGTCCCCTCCACAGCTCCGGGTGGTCTGGAAGCAGAGCTGGCGGGTAGCTGCTTGAGATGCCCCCGATTCCGGGGCTTGTCTGGTTGGATCCAAAATTATTTCTTTCTGCTGACTTCCTGGGCTTGGAGCTCAGTTCGGGCAGAGTGCGTTGAGTAAAATGAGCCCCGAACAGACCAGACCCTCCGCATTCCCAAGGGACTTGTGTACATGGGGAACGTGGCTGTGGTGGGCGGAGTCGGGGTCATCCTGACCGTGCTCTTACCTGCATCAGGGAGAAGAAGTTGTTAATCAGGATCCCAGTGGAGTCCTGCAGCCAGCTGTTGCCGATGATGTCCAGCCGCTCCTGCTCTGCCTCCTCCTTTCGGGCATCGCAGATGTCCCACAGGCGGTCTCGTAGATCCTGGGCAGAAGGAAACATCGCTGTTTATTTGAATGTAATAAAACTCAAATCCTCCGCCTGTCTTCAAAATGACCCTAAAGAAAATGTAGACTTAATACACGTCATTCAACAAATATTTATTTTGCTTCTATTCTCTCTGAAAGTCAGTAAGTCACACATCCATGTTTTTGCCTTGGTTTTCCCTCTTAACTGATGCACTAATCCCCAATATCTCCATGGCTCACTCAGCCACTTCTGTACTGAACTTGCTCCTTCTTGGTGGGCCTTCCCACAAGTATTCAGGCCATTTCCCTCTTCATCCTTATACCTCAGGGAAGTGAGGAGGGCATGGGCTAGGGGTCTGCAGGAGAGTGTGTGGCCCAGCAGCTTACATTCACTCTTTCGTGTAATTCTGCCTTGGTTTCCTCATCGTCCCACAAGTCCTCAGGAAGAGAGTTGAAATCAGCCTGCCATTGAGATACAAAATCTTGCTTCTGATCTGGACGTCTTAGAAACTGCTGGAAACTCGTGCTGTCAGGCATTAAAAGAATGAGCTGGCACCTGCATGTCATGCCTGCAAACTGCAGCATTTGTACTTGGGGAGCTTTACTTACCGAATCTCATACAAGAAAGCAAGCACAATGTGCTGGTCTTCTCGCAGGTTCCTCAGAACTAATTTGATGGAGTTTGCATAGGACCGTTCTATTAGTTCCCAGTATGGTACTAAGAATGAAGGCATGTCCTGTTAAATGGAAAAGCATGCAGATCATAATTCCAAAGTGAAAGTCTGAATAATTGAGTCAAAAGAAAATACTAAGCAAGAAGGTCAAGATGCAGCTGCTACTATCGATATTTAAAAAGTCCCTGTGCGACTTCTTGTTCCTTTTTCCTTCCCCTCATCCAGCTAATTCTTGGGACTCCCTGTCTCATAAAGCCAGGAACAATGGCTGTCTTACTCAAGACTATACAGTTTTCCCTATAATTTGTACATCTCTGGGGGACAGTAGGTGCCCAAATAAATATTTATTGAATGAATGCATGAATGAATTGCATTGTCACAGATATTACATTTTACCTAAGTTGGAAAATTGCCTTGTGTAGAGAACACCTAGTGTTCTTGTCAGAGTGATGATGCGTTATTTCTCTGGATTCATCAAAGAGATTTTATCTTGTTCTGTGCACCTTGAAAACTGGAAGTTTCTTTTACGTTATCTTTAATAATGTAAATAAATAATAAAAAACCAAGAAATAAAACGAAACAAAACTGATGATCTTCAGTATAAATTGACTGTACTATTTATTCCCTTATTGGCTGTGCATTTATTTACTCAAGGAATTACACATGGGGTCATTTGGCTTAATTTCCTCTTCAATTCAGAAATGTCAAATAGTAGAAATGGATTATTTGGTTTCTATGTGGACCTCACTAATGCATTAAGCACGACATTCTAAGGCTGTCCCCTACAGAGTCACGCAACTCATGTTACTAAAGCATTCTTCCTTTCACTGTGCAGAGATGTGCCTTCCCGCAGTTTCCACTCATCAGCCCTTGCTGTGCCCTTCAGGGGAGAAGAGACACCTGGCACAGTCATCCCTGGGACAGCAGTCAAACAGGTAAAGATGCTAGTGAGGAGAAATAGGCTGGGGTATGGATCAAAACCTATTGTTTGGGGATTCTCAGCACCCAGTGCAGCACATAACAGGTGCTCAACAAATGTTAACATGAATGTAAGTCATGTCACCTGAACCTAATTTTATAGTCAGTTAAATTTTTAGAAGACTGGATGGCTCAGCCTACTTTTAAAATCCTATAATTTTATGTCCAACCATACTTCAAGCATTCATCTAAATTAAATATTTACGCTTATTTTAATGCTCCTCTGACATTATTTTAATTCCTTTTTCTTACCGAGTTCTCCCTTCCGCTGTCCAGTTTGTCATGATCTCTCTTAAAGGATGTGGTATCCAGAATGGTGGTAAAGACCATTTTAAATAAGCCAATGCTAAATCTCTCTCCTGGTTGACTTCAACCCATGAATTAACACTCTCTGCATGAAGAGGTACCACCTAAGAATGGATCTAATCAAACTAACATCCTGCTCACAGCTCTCATTTATCTACAAGAACTTCATGAGAAATTATCAAACACCATTTTAAAGACAAGATATACCATGTTAATGGTACTCCCATGACCCACCTATCCAACTTTGTTATTCTCCAAGGCTTCAGAACTGGAAAGCAAAGACCTCTCATGTTGTACTGCCTCCTTGGTTCTCTCTGCACATTCCCTTGTGGTTTGCAAAGGAAGAAAGACCAAGGCTCTCCTTGAACTTGCTGCTAACTCTTCCCTCCCCTCTTGTTCCTTCCTTCCATCTGCTCCCCCCTATTGAGGTAAGATAGATATGGGATCCTTGGCAGGCCTGGAACTAGTATTACCAAATAAAGTACAAGATGTCAGTTAAACTTGTCCATTCTCTGAAATACAAATTTAACTGGGCATCTCTTCCTCTTCCTTAGCAGGTAAGTTCTACAACTCAACCATGTGAGAAGCTTAGAGTGGGAAAAGGCCTGAAGTGGATCATGTGGCCTGCTTTATAGACTCTAGGCTACTTCTGGTGGAAAAAAAGTGTTTTCTACATGGTTTTGCTTAGGCAACTAGAGGTCTGCATTGCACATCTTCTCATTGTTCTCCTAGATCAACTTCCTGTCCTTCCTTATTCACCCTGCTCAGTGCTCTGGAAGACTAACTTAGGAGAAATACTTCAGGAAATGCCCTTGCCCTCCTGGGCCAGTGATAAGGGAGAGGAAAGACCATGAGATCTGCCTATGTCCTTCCCTGCGCCTTTCTGCTGGGTGCTTGCATCCCTCTGTGAAGGCCACAGCTCCTGCCAGTGGCCCTCTCCATGCAGAGTCCTCTTGAGGATCCTCACCTGCTCAGGCCTACGGGCTATGATGTCTCCCAGGTATCCCTCTTTCAGAAATAATGATCTAATTGTAACATGTTTCCTTACTTATTGGCTGCATATTTGTAAATAGTCCTTTCTCAACTCTTCTTAATTTATTATCTGTTTTCTGCTAGAATCTTGATTGTTAAAAGATCTATATGGATGGCAGCTGGTGTTAATGTTTATTTTTCTACTCCTGTCCCTCTTGTCCTCTATGATTTTATTTCTCAATGGCTTCAAAATTTGGAGTTAAAGACTTGGCTTCAATATTTTTGTCCCTCACTCTCTCCCCTTGACAAATAATGTTACCTAAACATATATATATTGCTTCTATGACAGTTTTTAATATGATTATTTTTATAAGTAGCATATTTTGGCTTAGTGATATCAGTTATACACATCCATAATTACATAACTTCATGTTCTCATCTTCACATATTTTCTGTGGTAACTTCCCCCTCAATACAAATTAATTAATTAAAGAGTTTATGTTGTAATTGGGGAGGTAAGACATTTCCTAGGAAACCTCAATAATAGCAGTTATATCACAATCACTGAAATTCATAACTGAGTCTCAAATGCCTGGCACAGATGGCCAGCTAAAGGAAAGGCCAATCTGTGTGATGTTCCAAGATGATTTCTCTATTAAGGCAATTAGATGTACGGTATCCAGCTGGCACCTGGGCATTGCAGTTGTCGGAGAACAAAGAACTGAATGGCGCTCCCAGGGCCCACCTCAGGCACCTCCTCACCTGAATGAGAGCACCCATTTAAAGTCCTTAGGCCCGACAACTACCTGTTCTTTTATTAGTTTAGTTAGCTTCCAAACATTTCCTCTATTTCTGAAAACCAGAGGTTAAACTTCACTAGAAACCATTATGATGGGGATGGAAACATGGAAAAGGAGCTATAATTTGCTTGATATGTGCTCTGGGGAAGTCATTTTTCCAGGAAACTGCGTCTCTGCTTGTCCCTGGGGAGAAAATGGGTCCTCACAGGAGCCATTTGCTCCCCTGATTTCTGTACTCAACAGCAGTTCAACAACGGTGCACTCAACAGCAGTTCAAAGCATGACTCAGTAACTTGAGGGAGTGGAGAAAGGGTGAGATGTGGTTCAACGAATAGTCTCAAAAAATCGTCTTGGTTTTTGGATGAATATATTCATCGACATATATGTAGTGGGGTGATTCTTACTGTAAAAGATAAAAAGAATAGATTCTACTAGCCTGAATCTAAACCGCCATACCTCAGGGATTGGTTCATTCACGTAGACCCATTCTTCTGATCCTGGCTTAGGTGGTGGTGGCCCTACCGGAGTAGGTGACAGAACTGTGGATTCAGGAGGTGATTTTCTTCCTGATCCTTTTCCTCCTGACAGTTTTCCTTTAATAGAACCTTAAACATGCAGATAAATTATTCCACTACAAGTAGGTGAACAGGTACAGATTCTGGCGGGCAAATAAATATATGAATGCCATGGACTTCATGCAATTCATTAATTACATTTTAAGCAAATCTGGGTAGCATCAACTAATCAAAAATAATAAACCCCATTTTCTACAGCCCAGAAATTAGCCAATAATACAAATATTAGTTTTTTTTTAAAGCAATACAACTTCTCTTGCTCATTTGACTATGAAAAGCAACTTGATATTTTATTTTTATTCCTGTCCTTTCTTCCACAATGAACATATAGTTCTTACAAAGTTTAGAGTCTATTGTAGTAGTTCTCAACCTTCCTAATGCTGCGACCCTTTAATACAGTTCATGTTGCTGAGGAATCATAAAATTATTTTTGTTGCTACTTCATAACTGTAATTTTGCTACTGTTAATGAATCATCATGTAAATATCTGTGTTTTCCTATGGTCTTGGGCTCTACATCTGCAGTTCTCAACCTGTAGGTCGTGACCCACAGGTTGAGAACTGCTAGCAGGGTCAGGTATGGCATATGGTAGCTCCTGAATAGTCCCACATTACCTGCATGAGACATTGGGTTTCTGAGTGGAAAACTATATTTCTTGATGGAGCCAGGGAGTATGGATAAAGGTAATTGTTATGCCATAGCCTGGTTGAATTAAGGCATTACAGAGACAGAAGGAGAGGAGATGGGAGGGAAGCTGAGAGGAGAGAAGGGAAAGAGAGGGGAAGGAGAAAGAGGAGAAGAAAGAAGAGGGAGAAAAGGAGGAGAAAGAGACCTAATTTTCAGTTCAGCATCAATATGGGAATGAGAACTGTCAAGTGCACCCTAGTGATCTGAAAGACTGTGACTGACCAAGGCTCCTTGATTCAGGAAGAGCCACTACTTCCTTAAAGAGTCAAGGTTGTCAGAGTGTAGAAAGTCATTCTGTTTAAATTATGCTTATATTCAGATTAATTATTCAGATTTTAGGTGCAGTTTATAGATGCCTGTACAACTGGGAGCACGTTCTTTCCCCAAAATATATGTATGGAATGTTGTTTGAATAAAAATGCTCTTTAGGAAGCAAATACATCTTCTACTTTAATGCTAGTTAAAATAAATGGGTTATTTGTAGAGGGGAAAATTGGTAGTTATATTTTATGAATAGTTTAGGTGAGTTCTACTTACATATTTGAAAAGAGTATCCATTATTCACAGTTCTAATGTTGTACCTAGATTTTTTTTAATTTAAAAAAATTTAAGAAAATCTTTGTTCAGTCAATAACCAAAATGTTCATCTATTTTTTTTCTGTTGATAACTTTTCATCCTTTGACTTGACTCTCTGGTGCAATAAAAGTGAGAATGCTATGGCCACTTCAAGATAAATTTCCCTAAGAAATATTCCTAAGAAGAACCTTGTAATTATCAATGTGAGATGAAATGAGTTTTTTTTTCTTCTTCATCTATTTCAAATATTATTAAATACAATAGAATTTCAGTAAAATAAGAGCAACATTTTTTGTTAAGTCCCTGGAGTTACTTAAGTTGAATAAACCACATAACTCCAGTGTATATATTTCACCAGTTGAACTTGTATCTGCTCATTGTTTGTTTAGAGTCTGTATACTTTTATGATCTTAGAGCATGTGCACTATTATGTCTAAGTTGATGGTTTAGTACCTAATATGCATAGAAATAATTAAATCCTACTTCTGATGATTTTATAATAATTCTTCATTTGATTTTGTTGATCTTACTAAGAAAGCAAGGGATGAATCATGTAAATGTGAAAACTATTCTCCTATTAGTATAAGCACGTGAGAGGTGAGCATAAATAATAGCCCTTAACATTTCAGCTAAAATGTTTATCTCATTGTTAACTAGCCAAGTGGCTCTTCTTACTTAAGCCTATCAGGGCATACAATCAGAGAAGGATGATACTCTCTTTGAGATTCCCAGTTATGTATCTTTAAATGTCAAAAATAAAGCATTTCATTTTGTGAACATTGCACACTCTTGGGGGGCAACTCCATTGGCAAATTGTAATGAAAGTTAAATAGAAGTACCCACTTCCTGATAACCCACTCGTGCCCCCTGGAAAATGCCGGCTGTCTGTATCCAGAACTACCTTTCAAGCCTTAATTAATGAGCCATTGCAGCAGCTCCAACATAAATCTAAATAACATGCTTTTGGAAGCAGGGATTTCCTTTACTGATTGTCAATTACTTTAAAATATACCCCCCTTATTTCACAGAAACAGTTAAGTTAAAATAGGAAAAAAAATCATAAATGAAATTAGGGTCAGGAAAAATACAACTCAAAGAAGAAGGTCAAAACCAGTGGAGGAATTAGAAGGCAGATACTGAGACCTAGGTCCTTGCATAGATACTAAATCTGAGTCACTAATCGGCTCTAAACTTTTAGACAGAAAGAGAGAGAGAGAGAGAGAGAGAGAGAGAGAGAGAGAGAGAGAGAGAGAGAGAGAGAGAGAGAGAATATGGTATCCTTAAGCTAATTACTTAACCACTTATAGGAAGAAGGATTTTCCTGTCCCTTGATTCTAAATGAAATTTCTCACTGAGGATTTCCTAGAGGGGCCATTGAATGATGTTGTGGGCATGCTACCCTTTCAGAAAATGTAATACCAGGTTATTGTTGGTATAATGCAAGTCCCACCTGCACTGCTATGTTATGTCATGAAGTCCAGTGAGGATTTTATACCAAAGTGCTTATCAGTGAAAGCAATTCCATGGGAACCAAGAAATAGGTTTAGCACATAGCTTTCTGATGACATAGCTTAGTCCAAGGATAACATCTATAGTATCTGTGATGAATGGCTATTCTGAATATTAGGTGTTCTTAAAATTATTCCTCACAGGCATCACTTTTCTCAGCAGGACCTTTGCTAAGAGCCAGGCTGCAGAAACAAGGATGTTAGTCTTCGGCAGGGGCGTATGGCTTACACATGCCCGAGAGGGGTATTCACCGGATACCAATAATCTATTGATAGCTTTTCACCGAGACAGAAAGTGCAGAGTTATATTTGATCAGATATACCTTTTCTTTTGAGTGCAGCATCACCTTTCTTCCCCTTTCCTTCCGGAGGAGAGTCTTGCTTACCATGCAGGCGTTCTAAACAAAATTCAACACGTACATATCATTTATGGTTTTCTTTCATAGTCTGAGCTAGATGATGTGTAAGAAATCAAATGCTGCTTCTCACAGATAGACAGTTACATTTGTGAGCCCCATAAAATGGCTCAGGCCTTTACCATGAGTTAAAATTCATCAGAAGACAGGCTGTGGTTCAGAACGTCTTGAATGACAACCTCATTAGAACTATTCTATTCTGTCTCACAGAAATTTAGTCCTAGTTTAACACCAACATTTCATAGTGGGTTTGTTTGTAAATTCTTTAAAAATATATATATTTTATTGATTTTTTTACAGAGATAAAGGGAAAGGGATAGAGAGTTAGAAACATTGATGAGAGAGGAACATCGATCAGCTGCCTCCTGCACACTCTCTACTGGGGATGTGCCCGCAACCAAAGTACAATACATGCCCTTGACTGGAATCAAACCTGGGACTCTTCAGTCTTCAGGTCAACTATCTATCCACTGAGCCAAACCAGTTAGGGCTATACATTCTTTAATTCAACAGACCTGTAGGGTTTTAAAAGTTAGTCACATATCCACTTGAAGCGTATGGCTGTGTTTGGATTTATTTCAACTGAAGGATCCTTATACAACACGACAACTGAGTTGGTAATAGAATGACTCCAAAGCACTGCAAAGAAGAGTTAAATAACCACATGTTTTGATATGGCGCATCCTTGAACTTCCCTCGACCACACTCTGGGTTACCTTGTGACTTCTGCAGTTCCATTTTGCATTGACTATAATTTGCAATGCAGTGGGTAGATTGGATATATTTATTATGGATTCCCTGAAATCTAGTCCAAAAATATATTGAAAGAGAGAAAATGAGAAACTGATGATCTGGAGGTCAATAAGATGTCCCAATTAATAAATTGGTTCCTTGAAAAAAATTCACTACATCCTGCATTATTCAGTCAATAAATTCAACCATTTTTTCCCTTTCTCCTGGAGCTACAGTATTTTTCTTCAGTAGAAATATGAATATATAGGACAATTTAAATGCCTGTGATGGAGAGAGACTCTATTGGAACCTATTCTTTGTATTTAGAAGCGATAGTTATAAGAACATGTAAATGCATACCACATATTACTTACATTTAAACATCTCAAATTCAACAACCAAGAGTCCATAGAAATAAGACAAGTACAAGACAGAGAAGGAGTACCTTGAGTCTTTGTTAAAGGACTTGATATATCCAAATAGCTGACCTCAAGACTCATAAATAAATAAAAAATAAATGAATAAATAAATAATAAATTCAAACATTTTAATTCATTCTTTTTAAATAAATAAGCTTAATAAAATAATGATGATGATGATAAAAGTCTATGTATGCTTCTAGTTCCTTTAATAACATTATTCTGGGTAATCAACTATTTAACTCACTTTACACTTAAGCTCAAGGCAACAGGGAAAAGAAGATAAAATAGTGGTACCTAAAACACAACTTATAAAGTATTGTGGGCAAGTCTAATTTCTGCTGGGACAGCATGCACTCTGTCCACATTGTGTGTGTGTGTATGTGTGTATTAATCAGTTCTAAAATATATTCTGAAGTCTTAACAAATATTCTTAACTAGCAGCATGGGTGGTTTGATCACAGTGAGAGTTTTAGTTTTAAATAAAATTCTGACATTTGGTAGTAGATTTGGTACTAAACTCTCTACTAGACCATAATTCTGAAGTTTTCAAGCTTAATCCCAAGTGCATTTGCAGATGTAAAATGCAGAACCATATTCAATGTACACTTGGACAAAAATCACCTAGTACTCACTAAGCTATGCCCATGCCTCACTCTTGACCCCATTTCCACCCTTAATTTAAAAAAAATTTTTTTTTACTAATTTCTATTCTTTTCATCTCAACTCCTAAAGGTGATTCTAGTTGGGTGTCTGAGTTGTGCATGTTCAGAGGCCTCAGGCTTTTAGTTCTGAAATCTTCTCTTTTGAAAAAGTTGTAAATTTTTACATTAAAAAAAAAACCTGCTAGAAAATTTTCTCCTAAAACTGCTTAACCAAGCTTCCCTGAGCTTTAGGGGCAGCGAGGCCTGTTCTATAGGCCCCACCCCCTAACCCCCAATGCCCCGAAGCATGGCGATCTCCTTGCAGTAGGCATTACAGTGGGAAGGCAGTCATTAGGCCTCTGGATGAACCCTTCTGGACATTTTTAAAGACCAAGCACCAGCCCTGTCCTTGGTGGAAAAAAGAGACAGCAGACCCAACCACTCTTTGAAGCAACAACAGCTTTATTATATCTCCAGTGCACAGTATTCAAGAACAATTTTAAATTCACAAGGAAACTTCCGAAACTCAGACTGAGCTGTGTGATGACCAGAAACACCAGAGATGGGTTTGAGGGCCTGGCTCAGGTACATGAACCCTCCCACCCATGAGCAGGCTGAGGGGTCGAGGGAAGGAGAGCTGAGCCACAGGTTGAAGGCACATCTGACTTGAGCTGCTGTGGAGACTTATCTTCCCAATTCTACCAGACATTTTAAAGATTTCCATTTTTCCTCCAATCTCTGAATTATTTTTATAAAAATTCCTAGTGAGATGGTGGGGAAGGGTGTATATTTAACTGAGAGCTTTGTAGATTTTTTGTTTTTTTGTTAATCCTTACCTGAGGATATTTTTTCCATTGATTTTTAGAGAGAGTGGAAGAGAGAGGGAAAGACAGAGAGAAATATCAATGTGAGAGAAACACATTGATTGGTTGCCTCCTGCACGCGCCTGACCAGGGCCTGGGCCAGGGAGGATCCTGCAACCAAGGTACATGCCTTTGAGCAGACTGAACCTGGGACCCTTTGGTTCCCAAACTGATGCTCTATCCACTGAGCCAAACCAGGTAGGGCACAGCTTTATATTTTATTGTTCATGTGATAAAAAACCCTTTTTTAAGAGTTTGTGTATTTTGCCTTTACTTAAGTCCCATTTTGTTGGAATATAATGGTCTTTCATAGACCATAGCATGTTGCCAAGTCTTTGAATTTATTTGTTTAATATAAATAAATTGAATTTAAAAATGTTCAGGCCCATTTCAAATCTCCATGAAGCATGAAGATGATGGGGTTGAAAATACAATCATGATAGACTATCAAGAATATACCCAGGTAGCTCAGTAGGCGTGGCTCAATGGCTGAGTGTTGACCTACAAACAAGAGGTCACAGTTTTATTCCCAGTCAGGGTACATGTCAGGTTGCGGGCTCAATCCCCAGTGTGGGGTGTGCAGGAGGCAGCCGATAGATGAGTCTCTCTCATCATTGATATTTCTCTCTCTTTTTTCCTTTCCCTTCCTCTCTCAAGTCAATAAAAACATATTTTAAAATAATTAAAAAAATTTTAGATATACTCAGATAGACTTGGATAATTGTACCACCTGCCACTCATAAAGCTGAAACCAGAAACTATAGCCACATTTGTTCCTGTATACAGACCAAATTTATAATGATACTCTACCAACATCATGCATTTCAACAATTAAGCACTTAACATTTGTCATTATTTTCATTGTCTGTCACATAACTTAACAGTCCTTAGTGGTTAAGAAGCTAGAAAAAATGTACGCTACAAAATATTTTCTATACAAACTCTTTATCCATATATATTATATATTACACTATATACTTCTCCTATCCTTTTGTAATCATACTGCACTGAAGATTAAGTTACATATAAATTCTAGTCTCTAATGAGTACTGTTGTTTCCTTATTCTGTGGATATCTGCTTATGCTCATTCTCCTGGTCATAAGATGTTCACATCGATACATAAAACTACAGCTCAGCACACAGACATCTGTGCTCCTGGTCTGCTCTAAATCCCTTCTGATGTTACTCTGTACCTTTTCTCTTCCCGTCTGTGGACTTACTCTAATCAGTAGACGTGGGTGTGAGGACTTCATGGTCCCCGCTCCCTGGGCTTTGTGACAACCAGGCTCTTAGCTCCTAAGGGCCCTTCCACCTCCCGCTGAGGGACCAGAGCTGCTCAGAGTCTGACCTGGGCTAGAGGACTGGGACTACCACAGCCACGCTCTCTAAGCGGGAATGAGCCAGGGACAGGGCGCAGGCGGCCCCCTCAGTCACCTGCTGCGGTTTTTCCTTTTGCAGAAGCCTTGGGGCGCTCATGCGTTTCCTTCTCCTTTTCTGGCTCTGGAGGCGGAGGAGGCGGCGGCAAAGGTGGAGCCTCAGCCAGGGCAGCGGCTTCCCTTTTCGCAGCTTCCTTTTCTTCTAGCTTCCTTTTCACTTCAGAGGGAAGGTAGGAATGAACAATCAGTAAATTCAACCGACAAGGGAAGGGTGGGGTCAGTAGGCTGCCTGGTGTCCCCCTCCCAAAAGGAGAACTCACACACTGTTTCCTTAGGCGGCTGAGGGTGACAGAGCGATATCTCTACCCTTTTCTATCACAGCTTTCAAGTCAACTCTGCTATTATTGTTTTTCAAATGAAAACAATGCGTGCAGCTAGATGGCTATTACATTAAATGAAAACAAATGGAAAAATACTTTATTTAGAAAAATCCGTGGCAGAAAACGAAAACCAGAGGTATAAGACACTTATAGATGGCATAATCCAAATGCAAAATGGGACTTTGTGATCACATTCTCATTCCCTCCTAAATTCATGAAAGCCATACACTTCGATTATATGAGCTCAAAATTATGAAAAAAAAAATTAGTTACCTTCATTCTCTTTTTTAATCACTTCACCCGTAAACACTTCTTTCACTTTTTGGCATAAAAACTCGTTATCTACTTCAGCATTAACTCTTATCAGAATATTTTCTGGTTCTGTAAACCATTGCTCCAATAAAGGCCAGTTTTCCAAGAAACCTATAATCCTACAATATCAAGATATCATATAAACATCACATACTGATGGAAATATTCAAGTGACGTTATGCATAATTTATCTCACACCCATAATGAAAAAACACACGTTGCCAATGTAATTAAACCTGAGAGACAAACTTCAGAGCACTGCAGGCAATGGAAGAATATTCATTTTAAAGGAGACATTGTTTAATACCCAAAAGCCATATTTTTGAGGTGTAGGAAAGAGTAAAAGAAGGTTTAAAATAGAATCATTTCAGGAGCCTTTTAGTGGCAGTTCAGTTTTCTGAGGATACATGGTCTGCACTCACAGGGGAAGAACTGAACACACTTCTGAGGGCAGCTGCAGCCTGAGCCGCCTACGTCACCTACTCTTTTCTGAGAGACAGAAATTGAAGAGATTCTCGAGTAAGTGGAGCTGGTTCAGACTTACTTGCTTTACTCAAATATATTCTTGGAATGATTCTTGAAACTTCCCCGTGTTCCCTGAAAGGCGGTAGGCTTAATTAATGTCGCTCAAATTACATGTCCTTGCATCACGATGTATTTTTAGACTCCTAAAGGTTTCATAAAATTGTTTAAATTTTCTTTTTCAATGAACAAATTGCATGCAACCAAAAGAATAGTTTCTCTCTCCCTCCCCCCCTCTCTCTTTCTCTCTCTCTCTCTCTCTCAAAAAAAAAAAAAAAAAAAAAAAGCTTAACTTCATTTTAGCAAAACAGAAGTAGTTTTAGGACTATATTCTGTCATCTACTGCCCAGCTCTTTGAGATTTCATGGTCTTCCTGGGCATTTGCTGAATAGGGACTGGATTAGGATTCCATATAATGAATTTGGAAGTTCCTATAACCACGGAGGGAGGTGCTACCTGATTTAATTCTTCCCTCCCACGTTATGGTGACTGGTGCTCTGACTATGCCAGCAAGCTAGCACTCAACATCAAAGCTACTTAGTTTTGCTCCCTCGGTAAAAGACTGAATGCTAGGAGAGGCATCTTTTCCCTAGATCTGATGGTCCCAGAGTGACTTGTCAGTCTTTTCAAAGGACAAGAAGCAAGGATGCTGAGTTTTATACTAACCGATGCTGTATCTGGTCACTTAAATTCTGGTCAACACCCGTATCTGGTTTTCTAGCGGCTACCCGTTGATTGACATCTTCAGAAGTCTCAGTTGAAAATGTTTTAGCTGTGACACGAAAATTACTTAGTTAGATAATGTGCAAAAGGAGGACAAGTTGCTGACGCACTGTTAAAATGTGTTAGGGTGTCCTGCCCTTTCTCTCCTGCTTGGACATGTTTTCTGAAATAGATGTTGTTATAAGCCTTTTCCCATAGCTTGGGGCCTGCAGGGGCAAGGTAAGAAGTATGCCCCTCTGCCTTTTGGACCTGTGTACTCTCCTCCCTTGACTCCCTTGAACAACTCATGCTCCCACATCCTGACCTATACGAGAGGACCTAACCTCCCTTTGGGGTTGACACCGACACACTGGTCTCAGCCCGCTGTGAGAGAATGCAGTAACAGTTCTTAAACTCACAATGTCTCTTGGCCTGCATCCTGTCAGCGTGGACCTAACAAAATGTACTGACACAAGATAGTCATATAGATATGGTCTCACCTTTGGTCCAAGATGATTTAAAATGCTTAATAAGATGTTTAAAGAGTATAGTTTTTGGATCAGAATTTAAATTTTCCTTGGAAATTGGAGAAAACATAAAATATAACAATAAAGAGGAGTTGTAGTTTTAATGGAGAGGGTCTCATGATTAACTATGAAGAGATGACAATGAAAAATGATGGATCATCATGAATAACAGACTAGCAAATGTTTAGAAAATCACCACCAGGATGTAAAAATTAAGAATAAAATAACAGGGTAGATATAAACTCAAATATGCATAAAAGTTATTTGCCAGTATTATTGTTATATTACAATAAAGTAATTTATCTTTCTAGATTCTATGATCTTTCCCTAGTGTAGAATAAATAGAAAGGCATAGACCACAAGAGGCCAAAAACAATAACAAAAACAATCTCAACCACTCTGACTGAGCCCTATTCAGAATTAATAGTTTAAAGCTCAGAACACTCATGAATTTAGAACAAATAGAAAATCATGAAGAGGGGGAAAAAGCCTTGAAATAGATTTTAAGAAATAGAATTACTCAGGAAATGCCAAAGAACATTGGAGAGTGAATTAACAGTGTTCAAGAAAATGAAGGACCCTCACAGGATACAGCAATCCATGTTTTTTTTTCATCTACATTTATGGCAGAAAAAGAGGAAATGAATTTAGAATACAGAACAATGCTCTGGTTATTTATAAAACTCAAGGATGGCTGATGCCAGTGATGGGTGATTGAAGAAAACTGTGGGAGCTTTTCTCAGGAGACGCTGCCACGCACCATCTCAGGGTCACTTTCTCGTGTATGTAAGGCCTTAAGCACATGGATGAGCATTCCTTTCTTCCTAACCCCACACCTCCTCTCTGCCTCTGGCACTCACTACCACGGCCACATGTAGGATTTTGTGGTCACCTTGAATGGCTCCATCTCTGCAATCTTAACGATTTATTCTCTGATTATCTGTCCGGTACTCCCACATTGCTGATGAACTTCTTTGACATCAGTCAGTCTCTAAGCATCCTTTTCCACCAAATTTGCAGCATTTATCCTGGCTTTGTTTTATGTTTTAGCAAACCGGAGTTGCATGGTTGAACACTTCAACTTCTTTCCCTCATCTAATAACTTTAATTTCTGTGTTTTGGCTTATACTAATATCAGTAGACATCTTTGGGGGGAAAAAAACCCAAAAAACTCTGAAGAAGGGGCCTCAAGAGCTTCGGGTTGATGAATGCATCCACATTCTGGGAGGAGGGTGCACTCCAAGATGCATAGGGATGCTTCTAGACCTTGACCCATGCATCCCTTTATCTGGCCATTCATCTACATCCTTTGTAACATCCATTATAATGAACCAGTAATCATAAGTAAAGTGTTTCCCTGAGTCCTGTGATCCATTATATTATAGTAATTTATCAAACCCAAGGAGGAGTTATGGGAGCCCCCAGATCTGTAGTCAGCTTAGACAGAAGTGTTAGTAACCTGGGGATCCACTAATTGAGATTGACATCAGTAATTGGGTGCAATTTTGTGGGAATGAGTCTGCACTAACTCCAGTTAGGTAGTGCCAGAAAATTTAGGATACCCATTATCTGAGAGAAATTTAAATTGTAAATAAGTTCATCAAAGGAGGAGAAGGAAAAGAAGGAGAAGGAGAAGGAGGAGGAGGAGAAGAAGAAAGAGAATAAGGAGAAAAAGAAGAAGAGAGGTGTCTAACTTACCCATGATGTCATTCATGTGATCCAGTGAGAAATTATTTGAAATATCTAATAACATGACAAAATCAAATATAGCTGGGGACAAAGGCACGTCTTTGGCAGTTATAGGATCAACAGCCAGTGTGAATATTCTTGCTTTCTTTTCCTCCAGTTCCATGAGGTTTCTGGTACAGCCTGTGAGAGCTTGCTCTAGAAGCTCTGCTTGGTTCAGTGTCATCGGAAAACCATCGAGGAGCCAGCCTTGATCCACAGGTATCTGACTAAATTGAAAATGGACAAACCATGAATGTGTTGGTAGGCATAAGTATATTAGAAATAATAATACAACAAAACTTTCCTTTATCTTTGTTTCAATTTCATAACAATCTCCTCCTGTATGAATATTATTTCTCTATAGTAAATTTGGGTTAACTAATCATTCACTTGCTTAAAATCCTTCTGTGGGTACCTGAATTTATTCTAGAAGCCATGAAATGGTATTTAAAACTACCTGGACACAACTTCCTTACCTATGACATATTCTCTCTCACACACACACAATTTTGTACTATTTACTTCAAACAAACTGATCTCCTCACTCTTGTGTGAGTATGAGTTAGTATGAATTGCACTTTCTATTGATAGATTGTGTCCTCAGGCAGTTTCTCCGCAGAAATTATTTCCACATCTATTCATAGTGGGATAGCATATCTCACAGGGTGGTGGTGAGAATGAACCGAAATGATGCATTTTAAGACCCTGGCACAGAGGTTAGTACATGGTGGATACTCACAATGCCAATCTGAGACCCAAGCCTGCAGGGAATCATGACCACCTGATCTGAATTCAGTTCTCATCCACTTCACCTCACGACTGGTAATTATCATAGTTCTACTTAGAAAAATTCACGCGAGTCTTATTTATCTTAATTAAATTACCAGTTGGGGACAAGACCCTCAGTGTAGTACAATAGTATCCTCTATAGAAAATGGGTGATCTAAGAATTATTTTAATTCTTTAAATTGGAAAACAGTATGAAAAGGGTATTAACTTTAACTTTGCTCTTCTCAACCTCTAAATCATGCACAATTGAGATTTTGGTGTTTGGATTAAAAGTTATGATCTTGTCTCTTTTTCTGTTAGAACTATGAAAAGCAGGAAAATACCCCATTTTTGCTTTCATAACTTATGCAAAGTTTGGAAAAGCGCCACACAGCATCGGCTTGTTGGCCTACAAGATGTTTCTTGAGCACCTCACCAGCTCTGTCTGACCCCCTCCCCCACCCACAGTCTCAGGTGCCACTTTAGAGGGAGGAGGTCAAACTTGTTCAGCTGTGATGACATCAGGTGACACAGAGAGGGAAGACCTGGGCTTTGGCTCTGACCACCCTACTAACCAGATACGTGACTGACCTGCCTCAAGGAACCGCAATGTGCCTTACTTTCCTCATTGAAAACGGATGGGTTTGGGCTAAATGAAAGAATTTCAAAGTGACAACAGCCCTCTGAAGGTGCCTCGGGAGCAGTGGGGATGGTTGTGGGAGGGTAGTGAAAAGGATAATGTGCAGACACTCCAGCACTGCTGAAGCCAAAGCTGAGATCTGCTTTATAGCTGCTTTTTTTTTTTCATACACAATGCTTTGAACAAGGAGTCCCATAGGTCAGACATATTTTACACCAGTTCTGAGAAATGTTACAACCAGTAGAATGAGATCCCTTCCGGCTCTGAAAAGGAGCATCCTGGTGACCCACTTTCTTCAGCACTGCATTCAAGGAGCAACCATTCCAAGATACAGCACAATGGAGAAGCAACTCAAACCTTCAACGAGGTCTTAAGAAAACACTAAAGGCGGAGTCCAGTCCAGATGCAGAACACAACTTCCCTAAAACCTCCTTCCCTCCCTCTCTCGCTGGTCTCAAGCTTCCCACACCGCACCAGCTGCCCCATTCTATTTCCTCACCCAACCCAGCTCTCTTTCATGATAGCTTTGTGATTCTTTTTCCCCCAATCCCTTTAAATCTCATCTTTTTATCATATGTATCAACTGAGCTCATATGGCTTCTCTTAATTTGCCCTTTTTCTGTATTACAAAGAAGGCCTGTGGAAATTCTCCTTTCTCAGAAAAGAGGAAGATTACTGAATTGCAGCCTATTTTGGCTTTTCTTCATCCCCTATCACATGTCACCTCTGTGTTCTGCACATAATTAATTCTTGCCTGTGCACCTCTGCATTCTCAGCACCTTCTTACTCATTGCTGCTCATCCTTTGGATCCCTAAGTTCACACCCTCCTCCTGAAACACAAGATGAGGAAGCATGTTGGCCTGTGAACCCACAGTTAGGGTCTCTCCCCTCCATAATCTGTCATCCATTGGCTTTTCTAAGTAGTACCTGATTTCCCTTTGAATTCCTCACATGTTATAGAAACTGACCTGAATTAGCATCTGGGTGAACAAAATATAGTTGGTAAGGAACATAGTGAAATACAGGCATGTAAATCACAAAATATATCTTAATCTTGCTGTGTGTTTTCTTATATAGACGAATAGTAGCATTCATAGATATTAAATATAAAATGATTCTATATTATTTTTACATATCTCTATATGATAGAAAATATATTAAATAGATAAAAAAATAATACTTACTTGATAGCATTTACCATGATATTAACAAGCAATGTGTCAGAAACGCTCTTTCCTTTCTTCAGCAATTTTTCGGCTTTTGCACCAAGCTGAGCACGCACAGTGAGCTATAAAAATAAACAATGGATGTAGAGTACAGCTACTTTAAAAATAAGATTCTAAATATTTAGAGAAAACAAAAACATGAAATGGTCATTTTTTCTGATGAAGATACCAATCGTTTGTGACAATTCTGGAGTCAGGCAAGCATTTAAGGGAAATGTGTCTGCAGATTTTGAGGTTCCTCCTTTGTGGCTCCCTCTCTTCCGAGATCTTGTTTAATTTTCGGCATCTTCAATTTCCCCCTCTCATACTGTAAATAAGCTGTTGGAGCTCCAGCAGCTCCTGTCCAGGATGCCACATTCAATGGCCACATTCCATACGTTTTCTGCCTGGTGTTTGTTTGCTGCTTTGCTTCACCCACCTGCTGTTGGCCCTCAACTAATAATCTTTTCTATTTCTGAGCCAGCCGTCGAATGTTATCTGTAGAAGAGCTAGTCCTACAAAGCTACTCTATTATATCAACTTCCCTCATGCCTGTTCTTCACTCAGCCATCATTCTGAGCATTTTATGGTTAAATGATACTACATCTCTACTCAATACCCAGCAAAAGCTCCCTGTTTTACTCCACATGTCCTAATCATTGCCTGTAGAGCCCTAGATGGCCTGACTCCTCTCTCTTCCTGTGCATCTGTCTTTTCTCATCCTTACTCCTCTCCCACAGGTACCAAGCACCTTTCTGCCTCATGGCTGTCATCCAGCTCTGCTCTCCGCCTGAAGTGCTTCCTCAGGTCCACTTGGATGACTCTCTCAATCTTCCTTCAATCTGCTTAAATTTCACCTTCTCAAGGAGGACTATCCCATGTGAGACAGAAACTTCCCCTTGTTCCACAATCTAGGTCTCTGATCCCCCTTTACTCTACTCTACTCTACTCTACTCTACTCTACTCTACTCTACTCTACTCTACTCTCCTCTCCTCCATGCTATTCTGCTTTTTCTTTCCTCCCAGCATCATCACCATCTAATAAATGGAGTTTGCATTTTAATAGAGGAAGACAGGTAATAAACTACAAACACATAATAAACAAATGAATTGATGGTCATCTACTAGATGACCATACAATTTTATTTATTTTCACAGTAAACTTTGAAAATAAATAAAAAATGTTTCCATATACAGGAAAGCAATGCTACCTACAGAAATATTAGTTTCCACTAAAAAAATAGTGAGTGAATTGTTGTAAACGTTTTTTCAGAGATTAATAAAATATTCTGTAGAGCCACAAATATGGCAAATAATTCTGGAAAAATTCTTTAAAGGCAAAGAAAGTCTGAAAGAAAATAAAAGTCATAAATTGAGTGGTGAAGAAAAACACATAAATATAAATTTGGCATAAGTCTAAAATAAAAGAATGTGTTTACTTTCTTACTTGGCAAAATTGAACATCAATTCCCACTGCTTTAAAGATAAATAATATAAAGAATATCAAGTAAACTCAGAGTTAGTTTATATTTTACTATCAGATTTACTTTAACCCAAAGAGGAACACATTGCTATTTCATTCCACTTGAAGATACTCTTAAGAGCAAGGGATCATGATACATTCCAGCATATTAACAACCAAAATTAGATTATAATGCTTACGTTAGAGATACTGTCAGTTAACTCGATTTCTTCAGCTTTTGGTGTTTTATTGGTATCAGAACCTGTCAACCAGAAAAAGTGGTAAGAACAAACACCAGTACTTACAACTAACAACCATGCTAGCATCTGACCATCTATGGTTTTGGATTCATGGGTCATTGGGTCCAGTTATGCCTAATACTTAGAGGAAGAAAGGATTAGAAATACCACAGTATGGCTGTTACCATCATTCCACAACATTAAGATCCTGGCCATTGTGTGGCTTGGTGTTTTCTACCTTCTTCCCTTAGGATGGCTCATTCACAACAATATCCTTAGAAATGCATTCATATTAGGCTTTTCTTTTCAGAAAACAAGTCAAGTTTCTCAAGAAAATTTTAATATTTTTATTTTCATTTTCCTGGATTATCTAGTTATAAGTAACAAGCCTAAAAGTAGAAAATGTTAGAAGGCAAAGGGGTTTTGGTTAAATTCTATGAAAAAATACAAAGTTTTCAGAGTCCATTTATAATCACTGTACTTTTGTAATAAAATTGGTTATATAGTACTTAGATTAAAAATCAATGAAAATATCTGGAAGAAACAAATGCCCCAAATATGGGAGAGATTATCTCCTTTTAAACTATGGAAAACTAAGCTGCTCTAGGGAGTGGCATGCTTATAGGGAATCTAGGCATGGTCCAGTGGTGATGGCAATTGTGATGATGGCACAGGAGAATCTGAATATTATTGTAGAACTAGAGGCCTGGTGCACAAAATTGGTGCATGGGAGGGAGTCCCTCAGCCCCGCCTGCACCTTGTTTTCTGGGACCACTGGCTCCTAACCACTCGCCTGCCTGCCACCCTGATCACCCTCTAACTGCTCCCCTGCCAGCCTGATTCTCCCTAATTGCTCCCTTGCCAGCCTGATTGCCCCCTAACTGCTCTCCCCCGCTGGCCTAATTGCCCCTAACCACCTTTGCCTTGGCCCCTGCCACCGTGGCTTTGTCCAGAAGGATGTCCAGAAGACAACATCTGGTCTAATTAGCATATTACCCCTTTATTAGTATAGATGTGAAGAAACTATTGAATATGGAAAAGCTGTCACTAGCACACAAGAAGGTATATTTAAGACTTAAAATTGCTTTCTACCAGTGGTTCCACAAAGGATCTAAAGGACTGGAGCTAATTTCTCATTAGGTTTGGGAAGCTTGGTTCTATTTGCCTTGCCCGCAGTTAGGAACACACTGAGCATTATCTAAGTTCATTATCTATGAACACACCATTCAGGTGGCTTGAAGAGTCCAGACCCTGCAGCCTTCCTTAACACTGTGAACAAAGCAGTAGTACATGGAGAGGGACCCAGTAATACTTGCCCAGACCTGCATTGGTGAAACAAACAATGAAAAGCCAGGAAGAAAGGAGAAGGATATATTCTGGTGGTCTTGAGAACACAGCCAAACTGAGAAACCACTTGAAGGAATGTGAAAAAATTTCTTATTATTTTTGTCTCTTTTCTCCAGTTGTAGAGAAAGGTTAGGGACCTCTGTGTTTAATGATCATGGAGACAATTATGTGAGATGCCCCTGCAAGCACATTTGTGCTCACATACATGTGCTCTTACTGTTTGTCTGTCCCTCTAATGCAAATGATGGATAATGTGAGAGGGAGAGATAAAGAAACACTGCTCCTGCACACCCCTAGTGGGGATCGAACCCTCAACACAGGCATGTTCCCCTGACTGGAATTGAACCTGGGACCTGTCAGTTCATAGGCTGACGCTCTATCCATTGAGCGAAATCAGCTAGGGCTGGATAATGTGTTTTAATGTCTTACTTACTAAGTGTAATTTTATCTTCTGTTTCTGGAAAGACTTCTGAAGGTGGATCAAGTGAAAATTTACTTTGAAGATCCTTTGGGGAGAAAACACACACACAGACAGGTTTTAATATTGTCGTTTTAATAGCACTATAAATTTCATTTTATAAGTGAGGTTTAAAAAAATACTATTTTGTAACATTAAAACGTAAGTGATATTTAGGGGGACTGAATAATTTCCAGAAAGAAACAAAGTTTGGTGATAATTGTGCTTATGGAAATACATTGGCCTCCAATTACTATGTAAAATACAGCAACTGCCATTTTGAAACCACAGTGGAAGATGAGAAAGAGGTAGAGTTTATGGAAACTACCTTAGAAAGAACAATCCTAGAGATGTCAATCATAGCTAACCATAAGGGAAATAAAGTAAAGGTGTGTGTTATCTGGCATCCAAAAGGTTAGAATATGAAGAGTACCACAGCATGGAAGACAAAGCATCTCCCGGTGAAGAAAACTCCCAGTTATTTTCAGAATTCATAGTTAAAGGATACTTATTTTATATAGCTCATGCCAATGGTCTGGATTAGATTCTCTGCTAATTCATTCAACTGCAGATACAGCATAAGGTAGGGGAAAAAGCTTTGGCTTTAGAACCTGGGATCCCGATCACAGTCTAGACAATACCAAGCATCTTACCCCAATCAAACTAATTCATGCGTAGGGCTTCTACTGTCTGCCAAGGTGGGGCCACATTCTCTTATGTCCTTCACTAGAAACTTCATGCAATAATGTAGCAAGATGCAATGCTGATGAGAATGTGATACTGGTAAACCTCCCTTCAACCCCACACCTCCACAAACTGAAACCTAGATCAGAGATTGGCCTACAATGTGCATGGATCAAATGTAGGGAGCTGACTATGTTTATATGGTCCATGGGCACTTAAAACTCCATAAGACACTACTGTGAGGGAGGGGGACTAAGCCAGGTGTCTCCCTCCAGCCCCTGAACCTGCTCAGCTCTAGCACTGGCCTTGACCATTGCCCAGGGCTGGCTTTGACTCCAACTACCTGATGGGAACTCTGCTGTTGGCCACCACCAGGCTCTCACCAGTAGAATTTCACCCCGGGTGCTAGTGACTTGCTGAACTCCCCACAGCACTCATATTCTCTCCCACAGAATCTCAACTATTTACTCTTGGGACCTTTATAGAAAAGGTCATCAATCTCTGGTCTAGAAGACCTTTTAGGTTTCACCTAGCTTCAAATCTCATATTCAAGGTGCAAGAAAGATAACTAAAATCACACTTGCCTGGCTTTCGCTGCTATGCAGATGTGACAGAGCCTTTTCTTCGGCTTCGTGCTGAGTTAGAATGGCTTCACTCACTGTTTCATTGTCTTGAGATGCTTTGATAGCTTCTCGGAGAAGAGTGTCCATAGAGAGTACCTGGATAGGAAAGTCTAAAGAACAAAAGGCAGTTTTACTGACAGCTTTTCATGTAGGACACTGACATCATTGTCCTTCTGTGCTGAGTTTGCCTCTTCACACTGTCTTAAGCGCCCCCTAGAACTGCTGTCTGGATCAAACTGCTCTTTTAAATTATTGTATTAGAATTCACAGAAAATACAAGTACCCATTTTGACTGTTCTACAGACACACGTCAGTGGTATTTAAGTTATTCACAATGTTGTCATCAGTTAGATTCCTGATCAGGACACATGCTTGGTTGTGGACTTGATCCTCAGTGGGGGCGTATGCAGGAGGCAGCTAATTGATGATGTTCCTCTTTCATCGATGTTTTTATCTCTCTATCCCTCTCACTTCCTCTCTCTCTAAAAATTGATAAAAATATATTTTTAAAAATATACCTATTCTAGTGAGGTGAGGAGTTATCTTATTGTGATTTTGTCTAGTTTCTTTTTAAGGAGGTCTCTTTGACATCTCAGCAATGATCTGCCCTTCTTTGTCTTAGAATAATTCAAGATGGACTGGCCTCAGTGCACATTTTGACCTCTCCCATGAAAAAGGGAAACATATAATGAATAAAAATACATTGAATAGATGGAAACCTGTGATTTTGCCTCTAATTGAAAGAACTTTTATAGAGAAAGACTAAGGCTCATTAAAGACAGAGTGAACATTCAACAAATATAATGAAAGTATTTAAATTTTTTATATTATATATAATTTTAAGTGGATGTCTCTTGTACTTGTGACAAATTATTAGTATCCTACTTCATTTGTTCGTATGAGGAAAAGTTCAAGACTTGTTATTTCTTGTTATACTCTGCATCATGATAATATAGCATATCCTTATAACCAGGTATGCCTGGGATAGCCACAGTTTATGACTCTATATTGGTGAGTGTCTGACTTGGAAACAAATTATTTGATCACTCTATTATAAAATTCTTGATGACAGATTTTCCTAATATATCAGCAGACCCTCGTGTATGCTTTCTACAGACAGAGCCATTTGCAATTACAGTCAATCCTATCTAATGAAAGAGTAATATGCAGATTGACTATCACTCCAACACACAAGATGGCTGCCCCCATGTGGTCAAAGATCCTGCCCCCATGTGGACACAAGATGGCCACCACAAGATGGTCAGCAGGTGAGGGCAGTTGGGAGGCACCAGGTCTGCAAGGGAGGGCAGTTGGAAGCAATCAACCCTGCAGGGGAGGGCAGTTAGGGGTGATCAGGCCAGCAGAGGAGGGAAGTTGGGGGCTAACAGGTTGGTAGGGGAGCAGTTAGACTCAATCAGGCTAGCATAGGAGTGGTTGGGGATGATTAGGCTGTCAGGCAGAAGCAGTTAGGGGCAATCAGGAAGGCAGGCAGACGAGCAGTTGTGAGCCAGCAGTTTTGGATTGTGAGAGGGATGTCCGACTGCCTGTTTAGGTCCAATCTCACCCTAAACGGGCAGTCGGAGATCCTTTGAGGGGTCCCAGATTGAAGAGTGTGCAGGCTGGGCTGAGGGACACTTCTTCCCCCCCAACCCATGCACAAATTTCATGTACCAGGCCTCTAGTATTAAGATAATTAGATAAATACAAATATAAAAAGGAAAAAATTCTACCTTTTTCTAGAGCTTTTATAGCAGTTGTTTTTCCACTAAATGGCTTCCCTAATATGCACCCTTTAATAGCACATGAAGGCACTTCAGATGCTATTGATTCAATTTGAGGGGGAAGAGATTTTTCCGTTAGTCTGTGAACCACATGGCCCAATATGCAATTGTTGGAGGGTGGTAAATTTTCAATCATTTCTTCTGGTAAGGCCCACTCTCCAACCATGTTCTGTGAAAGTAACAACAAGACAAACAAAACATAATATTCTTAAAAGTGGAATTTAGGCATATAAGGATATTGAAAGCAAACCCAAATTATAACAAACAAAAGCTAACCAATAGGTCAAATTATTATCTATTGTATAATAATAAAAGCATAATACGCTAACTAGACTGGATGGCCGAACAGCAGAAGGACTGTCCGGATGGTCTTCCAGATGATCTTCCAGATGAAGCCGGGGCTGTGAGGGCCAAGGCAGCCACCACAGCTGTGAGGGCTGAGCCCTTTGCACGAATTTCAGGCATCAGGCCTCTAGTATTACATAAATGACTAATAACATAAATATTTTTATGAGAGAGCAAAAATTGAGCTCACCATAAAAAAAAAAGGCACACTAACCTAACTCTAAAATCTATAACAGTTTATAAAAGGAGGCATATTGAGTTATCTGAGGCAAATTATAGTCCTAAAGTTGAGCATTAGGATATTCAAAACTATCATAAGTAAGCAAATAAAAAACAGTAATTGTTTTATCTGCTATTTCATGCCCAATATGGTGTCTATGTTTAACTCCCAGTTTTTTCCAGGTTTCTTGCTGAATGATCAAACTAGAGGGAAAGAAAAAAAACAAACAAACAACACTTCAGACCACATTCTCTGAGCTCTGTGTAATAAATCTAGAAATTGATATTTGAAAGATGAAAAATATAAATTCTTAACAACTAAATACAGTATTTTTGAGTAATTCTCGATGCAAGAAAGAAATTAAAAATATAAATGTCCAAAAAGAACATTAAAACAATAAATTTATTAACAATATGGGATGAGATCAAATTGTACTTAGAGGAAAATTCATAGTTCCTTATTATAATGCCTTGACTTAAAAAGAAGGGAAATTAATAAACTAAGCATTGAAATAGGAAAAATAATATTAAAATAAAGTAAAAAATAAAGAAGAAGAGACTCATAAAAATGGGAATTGATAAATTAGAGAGCAAACTATTGAGATACCTTTTATTGATATGTTCCTAGATTTGTCCATGATAACCCTGATAATAAAATTGCTATTAGTTCTGAACAAAGGTGGAGAATAGCAAGTATCAATTTTGTAACATAATAGGAAGAAAGTAGTAGATTTTAAGAATATTTAAAAATCTTTAAGAAGATGTTATATATAACTCTACTATAAAAAACCGAATTTATTGCTGTATGGTAAAATGATATTTTAGGAGAATAAAAATGATACAATTTTTAATTTAAGTGGGATATTTGAAAGATGAAAGCCATGAAAGAAGTGGAAAAATTGTCAAAGAACTATATCCAGAGGAATCTTGAAGACCACAATAGTCTGCGGAAAAAAATTTCATGACATTATTTAACTGAAATGTAAGTGTGGTTTAGTTTCCCAGATAATGGAATGAAATAGAAAGCTTTCCAGTTCACCTGACAAAATTAGCATAATCCTGATACCAGAAAGATATCAAAAGTAAGTGACAAAAATAGCATCCAAGAAGAAAAGTAAAAGCCAACCTCACTTGGAAATGTTTACAAGAATCATGCCTTTAATAGTATCAGAATTAGCATTATATTGAGAGGCAATAAAGATACCAATTGACATTTACTACACAGTATGTACCATGTACTGTTGTTTTTATGCATTGTCTCACACGATTCTCACACAACTCTTACAAAAGTATTCTCATCTTTCTGATTTTTCAGAAGAAAACATCTGAGTATTATAAAAGCTAAATTTCTTGTCAGTGTTCACAACAAATAGTAATGGCATACCTTGTATTGGAACGCAGGCAGGCAGATTCCAGAACATGTGCTCATAACCTCTACATTATGTTGAAGTTGTCTTGCCATAACTAAATCAGAGTTAGTTCATGAATACTGGGTAGGATAAATGTTAGAAAACTTGTTACCATATCACATTAATAGGCTAATTTAAAAAAAAAATCCATGATAGCCAAAACCAGTTTGGCTCAGTGGATAGAGCATCGGCCTGCAGACTGAAGGGTCCCAGGTTTGATTCCGGTCGAGGGCATGTTTGTTTCTTGGTTTTGGGCACATTCCCAGTGGAGGGTGTTCAGGAGGCAGCTGATGGATGATTCTCAATCATCGATGTTTCTAACTCCCTCTTCCTCTCTGTAAAAAATCAATAAAATACATTTTTTTTAAAAGTAAAAAAAAAAAAAAAAAGCTATGATCATTTTGACCAAGCAGCATCTGATAAAATTTAAAATTCATTTCTGATGAGAAAAAAATAAAAAAATAAAATAAATAAATTATATATATATATAAAGATATGTTAATTGTTCATTATATATGCATATGTCCGTTGACATAATAGTGCTAAGACCAAGGAGCACATCTATACACAAATAGTGTCTTACTAAAGTACTAGTTTATACCAGGTGAGACTTGCTTGCTGTTGCCCACTCTAGGCATATATATCTTTAATGTGCAATGAATTGAAGAAGAGATCCTTAGCACCCTAGGTAGTAGAGATTCTTAGTAGAGATCCTTAGCACTACGGAGGAGCCATAGGTGGTGGTGAATAACGATGAATGATACATTTTCCCATTAAAGGCAGGAATAAGAAAAAGATGCTCAACCTTAGCATTAAGACTCACACTATTCTGGAAGTTCTAAACAAGGAGTTCTTTGTAAGAAAAAGAAAGAAGTTGCAATGTCCCTAGGGAATAATGTCCCTAGGGAAGTGGAGGTCTGTGGAATTGAGTCTCTGGTACAGAGATGGCTGCTGCTGTTCAGAGGTGGCAGAATAAAGCCCTCTTCCATCAGTGAATAGTTTGGAATTTGGCAGAACACAATGGGACAGAATGTTGACCATGAAGAGAATGGAATGCTTAGATTAGAGAAAGAACGGAGGCCTGACCTGTGGAGAGAAGCAGATCAAGGTTTTGGGGGAGGAACACGTTTTTCAGAACCATCTCAAAAACACAGTTAAAGACCAAGAATAAAGGGTAAGTCAAGGTAAAGAGCTCAGGTTGGAACAAGAACAGGATGAGTGGAAAAGAGGTCAGAAGAACTGGAAAAATATGTAAATTCAGACCAGAATGAAGATTACTAGTTTCACTCCACTGAGCAAAAGAGATTGTCTAGTTCATTAGTGAAGAAGAACCAGGTTTCTATCTTACATAATTATATAATAAAATTATACTAGAGAAAAATTATACAATATATTATATTTAATTCTTACTCCTTCAGGTACCGTTATGAATAGACATTTAACTATTAGTTTCAGGACTCTGATGCCTAGAGTGGGCCACAGCAGGTAAGTCCCACCTGGTATAAACTAGTACTTGTAAGACACTATTTTGTGTATAGATGTGCTCCTTGGTCTTAGCACTATTATGTCAACTGACATGCATACATAATGAACAATTAACATACCTTTATTTTTATTGTGCCTTTATAAATACCACCAGTAAGTCTTTTTGAGAAGGTAAAAGTGCAAGACTCAAGATCTATCAACACCTCTTGTCTACCTACACACAGAGATCATAAAATTTCAACAGAGTAAACAACCCTTGACCTTAGTTAAAAGTCATAAACTCTTTACTAGTACTATTTTTATTAACTGACTTACACTGACCTTTCTGGAAACTGAATTCTCAATTCCTGGGACCATGATATCTCCCAATTCTCCCGTTTTCACCGATAACGTGGACCTAACAATCTGCTTACCAGCCTGGATTCAGTGTGCTCATGTGGTTCTCTATATCATGTTGTCGATACCTCAGGTTCCCTAGTCTTCTGATTCTGCTTTCAGCCCGTCTGTCATATCCTTTTGGATCCTGTGGCCTGATAAGTCATTGTCCTTGATCCCCTTGTTATTAACTATGGCTACAAGTATCATGAGCATTTATTGTACAAACAGACCTGATTGAGAGCAGTGTGTTTGAATGTGCACACTTCAAAGACACATCTAAGATCTCCCATGTGTTCAGGTCACTGGATTCTCTCCTTGACTGCAATATTGCCCACGTGGTCGGACGCTGCTACTGGTGGAGATGCATGGTTTTCTCAACATGCTTTGCTTGCTTCTCTGAACATGATTACCCCTGGAGCAAAGCAAATGTACCTCAATCTCATTTCTTCTAGAGATCCAAGATGGAATTAGAGCTTTCTCATCCATCCTTTTAAAAGAGAGGGGAGACACGGTTCACTTTGACAAACCTGAGTTAACTGAACCTGGACCTTGGGAAACATTCAACTGTCATGTGAATTCCACTAACACAATATTCCACACACACACACACTGGGTTATGCCAATGCTATGTAGTAGCAACCTTTGAATGTGGCTTTTGTAGCGTGGCGGTACTGGTTTGAAAGCACACACAATCTAGTGTTTGTCTTCATCTGTGGCTAGAATTTACCAACATCTACGTGGCCTGAAGTGCCCAGCTATTCCCAGTCTGGCAGGCTCCAACCGACTCAATTCAACCCCTGATGCATTCAGACCTGCCAATTTCCTTGAAATGCCATCTTTTTACCTAGAGATAATAAAACCCAACAACAGACATATTATCTGGTTACAGTGGCCAAAAAAACTAATCGTGGAAGCTTTTAATAAACTGACTTGGAGAAATACCACATGTAGCAACTCTACAAAATGCGGCTGAGCCTCCTTTAGAGCGCAATGGCCGAAGCACACAACTCCACCCTGCCTAGGCTTTCGAGCTGCATGAATTCTGCATCAACTATGGCTGGTTTTTCTTGCCTGCCACTCGGCAGACAGTGAGGAAGAGAAGACAGTCTGTGACAGCTGAAGTACAGCTGAGAGTTGTAGTTGCAGCCTTAGGGAGCCATTATCAATCCTCAAATTCCAGAGGACATTCTATTTTTGTTCACCATGATGACCTTTTCTTTAGCAGGCTTCCTTCCAGGTTAACCACTCCACCAAATGTCTTCAGTTTTTGTTATGAACCCTGTGAGCACTCTTCACCTGCCTGGCCTCTACTGAAGAATAATTACCAGTTGTA